AAATCTTTCTTTCAGTCTCTGTCTCACACACACACACACACACACACACACACACACACACACACACACACACACACACACACACACTGACACACTGGGACTCACATGTCCACAGCACACTGGGCTTCAGGTGCATATACAACATTCTGGCTGAGGACTTGCACTGAATAAAGGTCAAATCCATTACTTGCACATTCTGCAGGAAACCTCCAGCCCATGTCACGTGGTTTGGTACACTCTTGGGTCAGACCCAAGAATTGTTCCATAGAATTCTAATAGGAGACTTAAGTTGCCTAGAAGGTACATTCAAATGCGATAAAGGCAAGTGAAATTCATTTTCATACATCTTCTCTGGCTCAAGACAGCAGCCATCCTACCGTTTCAATCTGCAATCGATATAAAAATGGTTAGCGGGGTCAGGCGTTGTAGCGCACACCTTTAATCCCAGCACTGGGGAGGCAGAGGCAGGTGGATCTCTGTGAGTTCAAGGCCAGCCTGGTCTACATAGTGAGTTCCAGGACAGCTGGAGCTACAGGGAGACCCTGTCTCAAAAAGACCAAAAAAAAAAAAAAATGATTAGCAAAATAATTGAGATACTTTGTCTGCACTGGATCTGGGAAACCTGGTGTGTCTTACCTGTGAGCCTTTCTTGGTTCATACTGGCTCTATTTCATGTTTGAGGGTCACATGTGGCCAGTGGCCACTGCCTTGGGCACCAGGGCTCTGTGGAATAAGATATTGATTCAGAGAATTCCCACCTCAGTGGAAGAGGGTGTCGGCTACCCGCCCCCCACCCCACACTTCTCCTATTCTAGCTCCAGAGGACCTGGTCTTCTCTCTCATGAACCAGTGTCTCCTCTGGTCTTATTGGTCAGGCACACAGAGTGATGTGAGCCCCCAATCCTCACCTGTATGGGCCTCTGCAAGATCTTCCCCCACTCATGCTCTTGGGGACCAGGGGTTGTAACCAGGCAGGAATGTCACCAGGCAACAGGCCCCGGGGGAGAGCTCAGGTCTCCTGCACCTGGCTGCCAGCCCCCTGGGTGCCCATGGGGTGGGGCGGAGCATGGTAAGGGCGGGCACTACCTGCCGCCAGCCTCCTGCCTGTTTACCTGTGGTCAGTCACAGCACTGCCCTGGACCCAGCAGGAGGCCCATGGAGCTCAGGGCCACAGGCCACAGGGGACAAGGGCCAGACACCCCAGCTATGGCTCCAAGCCATTGATCCAGCCTAGTCTGGCCAGCTGGGGGTGGGGAAACCTTGGCCTAGATAAACAGAGGCTGCGACTCCGGAGGCTGTGCAGGCCCAGCACCCACCTGCCACTCCTGAAGGTAAGCAGGGGCCTCTGGGATGGGGAGATCAGACCTACAAATGACCTGGTGACAGTGTCCCTTCTGAGAGCTAAACCTGGTTTCCTGGAGCTTGAGCCACCTATGTTGCTCTAAGGCTGGGCCTGCAGGGCCTTCTTGACCAGAGTGACCCAGAGAAGAGGCCGCTGGGTACACAGAGCAGCAGAGGGGGACATGTGGGAGGAGCAAGCATAGCTGGACATAAAGTGCAGGCTCTGAGGGGCTGCTTCCAGGAGTGGCCTGAGATCCGGGTGGGCAGGGACTGGGAAAGGCCCGGTTTATGGAGCTTGCACTTTATTCCTCCTTCCGCATTCAGCCATGCACCCTAGGCTTTCTGGGTTGCAAGACAGACCCAGAGCCCCACAATGCACTCATGCATGATCTACACACAAGACCCCCGACTCACAGACTGGAGCTGGTGTATGTGTGAGTGCTTGCATGTGTGCAGTGTGTGGAAAGCTTGTGTTGTGAACAGGTAGGTATGCATTCCTTAGCATGCCTCAGTTTACATATCTAGGGAGAGGTGAGTGAGTCTGTGTGTGTGGCAGAGGCTCCCAGCAGCCCCCTCCCCATACCCTATGCTCAGGCCCCCCCAGCTTTAGTGACTCACAGCAGGGCTTCCCTTCAGACACCAACACGTACCTCCTGTGCTCCTGGGTCAGAGTCCTGGCTCTGGCCCTTCTGCTCAGACCTGGTGGAGAGTTCCTCTCCCTGTACTTCAGTTTCCCCAGTCATTACAAAGGGACATTAAAACAAAAGTCAGGACTGCTAGAGGCGGAACAGGGCTTCTGGGCTCCCTCCTCAATGTGGCTTACATCACAACCCAATCCAAGGCTGGGGTAGGAGCTCCCACACTGTAGAACTGCCCCTGAGGTACCTAGTAGCCCCACCCCAGTGAACTCAGCCTGCAGTGGGTGGACAAGAAGCAGGTCAGACACTCCATCAGGGGAGAAGACTGTCCCTCCTTCTAAAGGGTCCATATCAGGGGTCAGAGAGCACACCCACTGGTGAATTGCACTGACAGGGGCTGCTGCTAAGCCTAGGGCACTCTGGGATAGTTGCTAGGAGGAGGTGCTATCTTAACTGAGCATAAAGTGGTCACATCAGAGCTGATGGGCTGGGAGGGAGACGAGCAGAAGAAGGGTAAGTTTGGGGGGGTGCTGGCTGGATGAGAACTCACAGGGCTTAGGACCCAACCAATGCCCTGCCCAGGACTGGCTAAGGACACTTGATCCGTAGAGTTTACTAGTTCCCTCGTGGTGAGGTTTACAACCAAGAGAAGAGCAACATCAAGAAGTAAGAAAGAGGTGGGGAGAGAAGAGGCGGCAAGCGGGTCAACCCCTTGTGCATGGACACCTTTGAGCTCGGTGGGAAGGAGCTGGGATCTTACATTCATTCATTGGACAACAACTGAAGGTCCACTCCATATCAGGCTCCACCCAGGAGCAAGGCGCATAGTGGTGACGGGGAAAAATCCGCTCTTGTGCAGCCATTGGAGAGACAGAAGCTTCAGGCCTATGGTACAATGCAAGTCCCAGAAATGCCACGAAGAAAAAATCAGTAAAGCAAGGAGTGGGCAGGGAAGGCCATCCTGAAAAAGTGACATTTGCATCAAGACTCGAAGGACATAGAGGTTTGGGCCATGAAGCAAATCGAAGAGAAAAGTTCCCCACAGAGGAGGAGATAGATGTCAGTCCAGCAAGGAACAGGTATGGCTGCAGCTGAGGGAGGAAGAGGACAGGAAGACGGGCAGGGCCCTTCAAGACAGCTCTAGGTGGCTGGAGCTATGTGTGGATTGTGAGCTGAGCACATGACGATGGCATCACCCTGGATGTCGTGTGGGAATTCGCTGACCAGAATGGTCATGACTGGCCATTACAGTGCTTTTCAGTCTGGCAATGTTAGATGAGACGGCCTGGATGATGGTGGGGTGAGGGACTGTGGCTTGTTTGAGCTGAGGAGATGCCAAGAAAGGTTTGGGAGAGTCAGGTAGAGTGGCACACACCCATCATCCCAGCACTCAGGAGATGGAGACAGGAAAGCTCGAAGCCAGCCTGGACTATATAGCAAGACCTTGTCCAAAAAAAAAAAATTAGAAGTTGGGTTTGGGACTGGGGGTAGTAGGAATGAAGAGCTTCAGCTTTTCTGATGGTCTGGACACTCAGGACAGAGAGCTAACCATCGTCTAATACGTCTAATAGTAAAAGACAGGAGTGATGTGGCCATCCTCATGGGTAGCACAAAATGGGGGTGGGGCATCGGTATCCACTATGAGGCCCCTGTGCTCGGCATAGGGTTCGGCTCTAATTGAGTGCTCTACCAAAATGGGGTGACGCAGTCAGTCACCGAATTGAGGGCTCTGAGGCAAGCTCAGCATCTGTTCCTGCTTTGACTTGCTCAAGCCCTGCTTCCCACAGGTGGTGAGGTGAGGAGAGAGCACTGTGCTTGGAGACCTGGCTGCCCCATCCCTCTGTCCTAGCACCCGTTGTTCCTTTGTGGGACAGTCCCACACTGGGCTCCCAGAGTGAACAAGGCCAAAGGCCCAGCCCATTTTTGCTTGCTTACTTGTTTATTTTGAGCTAGGATCCTACTATGTAGCCCAGGCTGGCTTAGAACAGGCAATCCTCCTGCCTCAAGGTCTTATCTTATTTTCTGAGACAGGGTCTCACTATGTAGCTCTGGCTAGATTGGATCTCTCTATATAAACCAGGCCAGCCTTGAAGTCACAGAGATCTGCCCACCTTTGCCTCCTGAGTGCTGGGATTAAAAGTGTGTGCCACCATGCCCAGCTGCCCTACCTGTTTAGAATATTTTATTATTTTTATTTTATGTGTATGTGTGTATTGCTTTCATGTAGGTAGGTGCACCTGTCGTGTCGTGCAATGCCTGAGGAAGTCAGAAGAGGCCATCAGATCCCCTGAAAATGAAGTTATGATGGTTGTTGGCCGCCATGTGTGTGCTGGAAATCGATCCTGGGTCCTTTGCAAGAGCAGTCAGTGCTCTTAACCACTGAGCCATTTCTCCAGTCCCCTCCCTACCTGTTTAAAATAATCTTTTTAGCCCGTGTGTGTGTGTGTGTGTGTGTGTGTGTGTGTGTGTGTGTGTGTACAGGTACACATGTACTGTGACACTTGTATGTGGATCAGAAGACAACCCTTGAATACTAGTCTTAGCCTTCTACCTTGTTCCAGACAAAAGTTTCTTGTTGTTCACCACTGTGTATGCCAGGCTAGCTGGCCAGGAGTTTCTGGGGATTTTCCTGTCTCTGCCCCCTATCTTGCTATAGGAACACTGAGGCTATCACATCTGGTTTTAATGTGGGTTCTGGGGATCCAAACTCGGGTCCTCATGCTTGTACAGCAAATGCCTAACCACTAGTCATCTCACCAGCCCTGACCTACCTCTTTAAAAGAGGTGTGTGTGTGTGTGTGTGTGTGTGTGTGTGTGTGTGTGTGCTATATAAGGTACAGATGGAATTTCATATGAGAAATAAATTTCTTTAATACCACTCATTGACTAATCTGTTTTTCCTCTAAGGTAGAGCCGCAGAAGGCATCGCGACATCCCATTGTTATTTGATCATAATTTGTTGATTACCAGCTCATTTACAGGAAAGGGCAGAATAAGGGAAAAACAGAGAGGCAGATACTCAGCTGTTGCTGTGTGACCTTGAGCAGGACGCTCAGCCTCTCTGTCCTGCCCCCTTTTTAAAAAATGTGTGTGGATCCCAGGGATCAAACACACTGGGGAAATGATGCTAGGCAGAGCTGGCCTGAGCTGTTCCCAGGATACTCTGGTCTCACACTTCTCATCTGTCCAATGGTGAAGAGCATCGAGAGGCATGTGGGCAGCACCCATGCAGAGTGGGCTGAGGAAGAATATATTGGTTCACAACCTGGGTGACCTGTGAATTAAATGAGGTGATATGTCTCCCCAGAGCATTAAGTGAACATAAACTTTTGTGCCCTTCCTTAGTTCCGGGGCATTTTGAGAGTGTGGGGAGAGCAAAGGCCAGTGCTTGCTGGCAGACAGGTCTGCATCCAGCACAGGACTGGTTCAGGGCATCTAGTGAGTGGGCTAGGTGCACTGGCTGTATGGGAATGCCATTGAATAGGACAGAAGGAAGGGAGGAAAAACATGCCCCATAGACATACCACAGCAGGAGTTGTGGAAGGCTGTGTCCATGGGTTCCCATTTGTTTGTGGGCACCACCTCAGGGCCCTGCCACTTGCCCTCTGGGGCACCTCCTCCAGGCCACCTCTGCTCCCTGTGAGCAGCCTTGCCAGTCACTGCTGACTGGGTCCCTGTCCTTCCATACAAAGGGTAGGGGCATGGCCTCACTTTTTGGTTCTCAGCAAGGCTCTCCTTTGCAGATACAAAGATATTTCCATTTCCCCTGTTCTACCAGGATGCCCACAGCTGAGACCCCCCAGGAGGCTGGTGGGCAGGGTGATGGAGGTGATGGTGAGGAAGCAGAGCCGGAGGGGATGTTCAAGAACAGCAAGAGAAAAGCCCGGGACTACCTCCGCTTCACACCACTGTGCCTGGCCTTGGCTGTGCTGGCTTCAGCTGGAGTCATGCTCTGGTATTTTCTAGGTAATTGAGAGGGTCCAACTGGAGTGGTACCTAGAAAGTGCTTGGGGTAGCTGTGGGAAGGACTGGCATGGCTGTGGGGTGCACAGCAAGATGGACCAGGATTCCGGGCCCTGCAGTGCTCAGCCACACTCCTTATGTGACTTTGTGCCACCTCCCGAGTCACCTTTCCCCATATCCCTCAAGACGTGCTGCTGCTCAACCTCTACCAAGTCTGATAGCTCAGGTCTGCTTCCTGTTTCCCTCAACCGGGTAGCATCCAGTTCTTGGGCCTTAATAAACCAAGGTGTATGAATGTTGTCATCCTTTACCTGTAGCCCTCCTGGGCTGTGCGTTAGGCTCAGAGCCAGCCTACTCTGCTGTGGGAGGCCCAGAGGCGCCCATGGGACTTGGTACCAATTAGTGCCTCTGCTCACTTGAGCCCCAGGTGCTCCTCTGGGGAAAGGACCACATCTCTGGGTCTCCAGGGCTCAGCATGGAGAATGAACAGGACCACTAGAGAGCAGCCAGCCTTGGGGGCCTCTTCTTTATCCCTGAATTTGGTCCTTTGTCTCTGATATGACTCTCAAGCAGTTCCCTGGAGCCCCAGGAGCAGCTGGTCATGCTCTGGGCCCAGAGTCACCTACTGCATTCATAACATGATGCTCCCAGCTCAGGTGGGAGCTGGCTCATCTCCAGCTCTTGATTATGGTAAGAAGTAGATCAAAATTAGTCTGTGCCTGTGAAAATGTTCTCCGTATGGTGTAGAAGACTTATTCACCTGTCTATCGATCCAAACATCATCTATCCATTCATTCATCCATTCATCCATAATCCTCCCATGCATTCGCCCATCCATCCACCCACCATCCACTTATCCATCTACACATCTTCCACCCATCTATCCATTCATATTCTACCCATACATGCAGTCATCCATCATCTATCCATCCTTTATCCACCCACTCACCCATCCATCCATCATCCATCCACTCATCTATGCATACGTCTTCTACCCACCTACCAACCATGCATCCATCTAACCATCCTACCATCCAACTATCCAACTATCCGTCCTTCATCCACCCGCTCATTCGCCTGTCTACCATCCATCCATCCATCCATCCATCCATCCATCCATCCATCCCCAAGTACCTCCTATGTATAGGAATTTGTGCTGGGCTCTGGAGATGGCCTTTGTCCTTGTGATTTCACCATAGTGTCAAATACAATCATAATACACCTGTCACTACAGAGGAGGCCGAGGGGTTAGGAAATTCCAGAAGGGACAGCCCAGCTTACTTGAATGATTGAGGCATCTCATTAAATAGTCCACACATGTTGGATAGAAGTCTTACTGGTTGCATCCCCCAGTAAAGTTTCAGCCTATGAACAGGTCCATCTGCTTGGAGCAGCACTAGAGAGACAGATCTGTCTATGCTAGCTCAGAGGGAACAGGAGGATGATATAGTGAAGATCTCCATGTGCGATCACCATGTCTCATAGTGACTCACAGATTCCGCTCAGAGCTGAGCAACACAGGCTGGGAATAGCCACTGCGTGCCTTTCACCACTGGCAGGAAGCCAATGCCCCAAATAGCACAGGCTGGAGGGAGGCATCATTAGGCTATCAGGTAATTAGTCTTCAGGGCTGGAGAGCCAGGCACTCACCTGCCAGTCATCTTTCTAACCCATCCTCCCATGGCTCAGGAGGGTTCTGCCTAGGCCTGAAGATCCAGAGGGGCAGGTAGGATAAGTGCTCTAGACCTGCCAGAATATGCCACCTAACCCCAAGGATTGAGGGTGGAGGAGGCCCCTGGGGAGCTGTTTGAATGGCTAGAAGATGGGTAAGAGGCAGGCCCTGCCCATCTTGGAGGGACGATGGCCAGCCCCAAGTGAAGGGCAGATGGCTGGGCAAGGACAATGTGAACCAGTGAAGGAGGTGCCTGGCTCCCTTGCTGCCCCATGGTGTTCGGCAGCTGGGCCCTTCTCCCTTGCTCACTCAGTTGGAAGTTCTTTCTTCCCACAGCTCCAGCCCACTTGGCTCCCCTTGCCTCCTGCTCCCTGAGAAAAGCCTTCAGAAAAGAGGCCCCCAGACAGTACACACCAGCCTCCCACTGCCTGCTCTAGCCCACCTTTCCTCAAGAGCTGTCTAAAATCAGACTCCTGTCCCACCCACCTTGCCACACAATGGGACCTCTTCTGTCCTCCATGTCCCTCTCCCAGCCTCTGCTGTCACTGCTACAAACTTCTGAAGATGGTATGCAGTACAAGGGACCTCCAGTGCATACCCTATTCCCCTGTGCTCTCTGGAGCTGGACTCCACCCTCCCCACAGCTCCTGCAGCCTTTGTGAAGGTCATTGCTGAGTCCTGGTCCATCGTCATCATATTTTGGCCAGGCTAGTGCCAAATCCAGTCAGGAAGAGCCATCTTCCCTGACTCTTTTCAGCTTCGTACTTGTGTCCATGTGCCCATCTCTGTGCTCCCTGCAGAGAAAGCTTCTCCCTTCTGTCTGTACTCACTTTGATCTCATCCTGTGCCCTTAAGTCGCCAATGTCCTTTATTCCTGATGACTCCTAAATTTGCATGTCCATCCCCGGTCTCCCCTTGGGCTGCATTCATCCCTGTCCTGCTCTTCCTATCTGTCCAAGGAGTCCCCTCAGATCCCATGTGTGCTGAGCACAGATTCCACTATTCCCTCCGTCCCCTCACCCCCTGCTGGTGTCCATGTCCATTTCTCCATTTACCCCTCTCCTAGTATACCCCTCACAGTGGGGCTTTGTGTGTATTGGGGATTCCTGTTTAACATGGTAGGGGGGAGTTGCAGAGAGATGTTGGTAACAGTGCTGGCTCGGAAGCACAAGACACCAGGGACATGCCAGGGTTGGGGTGGCAAGAGGAGGTACAGAGGCAAGAGGCTTTCTAGTGCGTTTTCTTGGTGACCCTCTATTCCTTTCCATACAGGATATAAGGCAGAGGTGACGGTTAGTCAGGTGTACTCTGGCAGCCTCCGGGTACTAAACCGCCACTTCTCCCAAGACCTGGCCCGCCGTGAGTCCAGTGCCTTCCGCAGCGAAACCACCAAAGCCCAGAAGATGGTAGGGAGGGATGAGAGGCTGGGAAGAGGAAACGGGTGAGAGGGCAAGGATGCGTGCCTTGTAGCATCCACCTATCAGTCAGGGACCACAGGAAGAGGTACTGCTGGAAAGGGCAGGATCGTGCACAGGGCCCAACACACTAGAAAAAGATGATGATTGTGCCTCTTGCCAGGAGTGGAGCATGATTTTAGGGAAGTTGGAGCTGTGCAGTTCACACTGCTGGGGTCCTGGGGTCCTGCCCCTTCTTTACAGTGCACTAGTCACTGCACTGGGGACAGTGGGCTGCCAGCCCTTCCCACTCTCGGCCAGGCACAGGACTGCTGCCTAGGAAGTAGAGGTCGGCGGCGGGGGGGAGTACTGGCAGCACCCCTAGGCCATGAGACCTAGAGCCCTGAATATTATGCACCCAGTATTTCTCTGTAGGGACAACTCTGAGGCTTTTCACACTGTGTCCCAGGGATCGGCTGCCGATGGAGCCTCCATTACCCTCAGCTGTTCCCTGCTCACTAACAGATAGCTCCCAGTCAGAGTGAGCTGCCTATTAGGTCATCAGGAGGAAGAGAGGGGACCCCAGAACTGAGTGGGGCTTTGCAGTGTGTGTGTGTGTGTGTGTGTGTGTGTGTGTGTGTGTGTGTGTATGGGGTAGGGTATGGCAAGGGGCAAAGGAACTGTGATGGTGGGGGTGCCTGGCTTGACCTTGTACCTATGACAGAAGCAAGCCCCCACCCAGAGTTCTTGTATCTGGCCAGGTTGGGCAAAGAACTAGAGGTGGAAAGAGGCGGGGGAAGTCTGTGCTCCTGCCCCCGTGGGGGTGACCAGCCTTGTCTTCCCTCCTCACAGCTCAGGGAGCTCATTGCCAGCACCCGCCTAGGTGCTTATTACAACTCCAGCGCCATCTACTCCTTTGGGTGAGTTGTCCCAACCAAATGGGCCCTAGGGAGAGCCTCAGGTCCAGGGACAGGAGGGGTCCTGTAGGCTTCTGACACAATGCCCTAGCGAGACCCTTTCCCAAAACACCAAGATAAATAAAGAACATAGGGAAACAGGCACAGAGGAGGAGCTCAACTTCCTGTGTGTGGTCTACCTTTCTTGAGCTATTGCCTACAGAATGGTGGTGTGTTGTGGCAGGGTTCACACCATGTAGTGACTGGGGCAGCCTAATGGCCTGGTACAAAGTAGGTGGGTCCAGGAGGGAGGTGCATTGGAAAGCACATGACCCAGGACCAGGCTTTGCTAGTCATATCTGGTTCTGCCATTTACCAAATGGTCTATGGTAGGCGATTGTCCTCCAGTGACTCAGTTTCTCCTCTTGTGTGTGGGAACAGGTAGATCAGCTCCCTGGCTTCTGAAAAGCAGTGTTGGGAACTTAGAAGTTCAGAGGGCTTGAGCCTCAGTGGTTTTCCTTGAGTGGCAGACTGGACAGGACGGGATTGCAGGTCCCCTCTCTTCTGTCTGCATAGGGAGGGACCCCTCACCTGCTTCTTCTGGTTCATCCTTGAAATCCCGGAGAACCGGCGCCCAACGCTGAGCCCTGAGATGGTGCGTGAGTTGCTGGCAGAGGAGTTGCTGTCCAACAGCTCGACTGTGGCTCCCTACAAAGCTGAGTACGAGGTGGACCCTGGAAGCCTGGTGATCCTGGGTCAGTGCTAGGAGGGAATTCTGGTGGTGCTGGACCGGCAGGGCTGGGGGAGGCCAACCCTGGGGCTGGGATGCTCAGGTGGCCCCTTGTGATCTTGGAGCTGGGATAGAGGGTGGGGGCGGGTGACATGGAGGTCTTCTTCCCCCTTTTAATTTTTATTGTATTTTACTTTGTTTTTGTCCTTGTTTATTTGTTTGTTCATTTCCTTTCGACAGAAGCCAGTGTGAGAGACATAGTCGTTCTGAACTCCACGCTGGGTACGCTGCTGTTTGCTTTCCTTGCTTTTCCTTTTGAGTTGGGGGTTTTCTAGTCTGGTCCTGTAGCTTTCATTGTTGGGGCAGGAAACAAGGGCCAGGTAAGGGCTCCAAGCAAGACCCAGGGATGTGGAGGGTATCACAGGGGCTAGGTGAGGAATCTGAGCAAAGCCTAGGATATGAGGCGTCATGGGAACTGGGTGAGGGTTCTGAGCAGTCTGAAGGATGTGGGGTGGGACAAGTGGTGTGCTTACATGGTTGTGTGTCTGCCCCTGCTGGGGAGCAGCAGTTTGGTCATATGAAACTACTTTTGCTCTCTGTCACTGAATTCAACCTGCCCACTAGCCATTTTTTCTGCTGAAGGCGGAAAATAGTCTTGCCAACCCACATTTGGTCCCTTGTCACTCTGGATTTAAACGTGGTCTTTGGGAGGAACAGCTCTGGTACATTCAAAAGCATTCCCTCCACCCTTCCCTTCCCATCCCTCCACAGCTATAGCTAGGTTAACTCGCCCTCCCTCCCTCTCTGGCTGCTGCCCCACTGCTGCAGTCACCTCGCTTTTCTCTCGCAGGCCCCACTGGCTTCTTGCTGATCACCCTGCTGCACTGTGTGCCTTGTATTCTGTGAACTGGTTCTTTCTAATATAGGGCTCAGAGCACAAGCCCCAGTGCTCAGATTTCTCTCCTGCATTAGCTGGAGTTCCTACCCAGAGCCAAAGTAGGGGTGAGTGTCCCAACTCCTCTCAGGGAAGAAGCAATTAAAATTCCGTTTCTGACCTTTCCTCCTATCCTTCTGGCTAGATGCTTCCTTCCTTCATGGGTGGTGCTGCTGTCAAAGCAATTTTCAAAAAGTTAAAGCCATGATTCTCATACAGGTATGCTGAGCTGGGGCCAAATACACGTACTTCATTAACAAAGGATCCTACTATATTAAGAAATCAAGATTGTCTAACTATATCTATCTATCTATCTATCTATCTATCTATCTATCTATCTATCTATCTATCTATCTATCTATCTATCTATCTATCTATCTATCTATCTATCTATCTATCTATCTATCTATCTATCTATCTATCTATCTATCTATCTATCTATCTATCTATCTATCTATCTAATCTATCTACTATCAATCATCTAGCTGTCTAGCTCTCTAACTATATCTAGCTATCTAGCTATCATCATCATCATCATCATCTACCATCCATATCTATATAATCTATGTAGTTATCATCCACCTATTTTCCATCTGTCTTATTATCTATACATATATGTGTATCTATATATCACCTATCTATGTATCTGTGTATCTATGTATCATTTGTCTATGTTTCTATCATCTATATCTAATCCATGTATCTGTACTGTGACATCTATCTATCTATCTATCTATCTATCTATCTATCTATCTATCTGTCTGTCTATCTATCTATCTATCTATCTATCTATCATCTATCTATCTATCAATCATTTCTCATCTACCTATTATCTATCCATCCATCCATCTTCTTTTACTGCCTATGCATCAATCCATTCATCCCTCTATCATTGGTGGAAAAGCATTACTCAAAGATACTGCCCAGCCAGATGTAAAGTAGCTGCTGTCCTACCAGACAGTAAAGCTTGGGGTGGACTTTCCTGTGAACCCACATCATTTGCAGCTTAGCAGTCTCTTAAGGGTTAGCCTGCAGCCCTTGAGAGCCTGTCCCCAGAAGTCACAGTGAGTCTTTGCCATCCCTCACTCCCTGAATCCTGTAGGGACTCACTGAATTCGGCTCAGGGACAGATGGGTGAGGCAGTCCACTTGGGCTCTGCACCAGCCAGCTTTGGAGGGTCTATGAGCTAACAACAATTTTCACATCTTTTTTAATGACAGGAAAATGTCTTGTGCAAATGTGTTTTCTTTGTGGTTCTAAAAGTTTCCACATAGCAGCCCCAATTTCGCCTCTTAGTTCAAAAAAACCTGTGACATTTCTAGCTGTCCCTTCTCTGCCTGACCTAGAGTGATGCCCCTCAGTTTATCTCCTTTGACACCATTAGAAGTTGCTGAGTGCTGGTGGCACACACCTTAAATCCCAGCACTTGGGAGGCAGAGGCAGGCTGATCTCTGTGAGATTAAGGCCAGCCTTGGAGTTCCAGGCCACCTGGGGCTACAGAGAGACCCTGTCTTAAAACAACAACAAAAATATTTAAAGGACTGGCAAAATGGCTCAGAAGTTAAGAGCCCTGACTGCTCTTGCAGGTTTGATTCCCAGTACCCACACAGCAGCTAACGTCTGTCCTCCACTTCAGTTCTAGGGAATCTGATGCCCTTTCTGGCTTCTGGATGCATTGCATGACACAGGTGTACTTACATACATACAGACAAAACACATGCACATGAAAGATAAATAAATATATACATAAATAAGAAGTTGCTGAGGACCTCCAAATAGCTCTTGTTTACATTGAAACTGAGATATTGAAAAGATATTTATTGACTCATTTAATATTAAAAATTATTAATTTACTTTTGAGACAGGACTTTTCTATGTAGCTCAGGCTAACCTTCAATTCACAATCCCCCGCTTAGTCTTCTGAGTGTTGGGATTACACCAGTGGGCCACCACACTTGGCTTTAATTAACTGATTAGCACCCTCCCCTCCTCTGCTTACAGGTCTACTTTGATTTTTTTTCTCTTTGGTCTTTTTGAGACAGTATCTATCTGTAGCCACAGCTGGGTTGGAACTCTCTATGTAGACCAGGCTGGCCTTGATCTCACAGATATCTACCTGCCTCTGCCTGTCAAGTGCTAGGGCTAATTAATTAATTGTTTTGAGACAGGATCTCACTATGTAGCCCTGTCTGGCCTGGAACTTGCTATGTAGATCAGGTTGGCCCTGAATTCACAGATATTCACCTGCCTCCTGAGTACTGGGATCAAATATGTGGGCAATTACACGCAGCTAATTTATTTTTTAAATAATATTTTAAGCCCATTTATATTAACAGGATGTTTTTATAAAAACTATGAATTTTCCCTAAAACCAGTTTTCTTTTTGAAAAGTTGCTTTGTGGCATCCATCTGCCTGTGCCTGTCTGTGTCCAGTGGAGGCAATAGTGGGTACCCAGGAGTCTACTGGGTGCTCTACAGGTATCTGTAGTTTGTCTGCTGTGACATCACAAGTCACAGGACTCTAGAAAGCTCCACTGTGCACTACAAGAGACAAAGGGAACAAGGATCTTAGTGCTGGAAAGAAACCAGATTTGACTTTGACCCCTTGGGGACTACACAGTGCCATACTGAGAACTCTACCATGTGGTGGGAAAAGCACTCCATACAGCCTTCTGTCTGTTTTATTTCCACATTTGGATGGTTTTCTCTTTTTTCTTAATCACAGGAATGGCTTCTGTAACATCACATGGACAAGTGTGATGGCACATGTATGTGATCTCAGCACATGGGAGACTGAGGCAGGAGGATCAATATTTTGAGATTAGCCTGAGCTACAGAGTAAGAACTTGCAAAACAAAAACACCAAAAATAAACCAGCACCCTCCCCTCGTCTGGTTTGCAGAGCTACTTTGATCCCCCCACACCTTTGGTCTTTTGAGACAGGATCTCTCTATAGCCACAGCTGGCCTGGAACTCACTATGTAGACTAGGCTGGACTTGATCTCATAGAGATCCACCTGCCTCGGCCTCCCAAGTGCTGGGACTAAAGGCATGCACCACCACACCTGGCCCAGGGCTCCTTTGAAAGGTCACAGTCAGCAAGGTGTCAGTGTCAGCTTGGTCACCATAGGTGGCCTCAAGATAGACACTGCTGGGCCTCAGAGGTAACCGCTGGCCACAGCCCACCTCCTGAGTCAGCCCATGGGCATTCATCTGTGCATTGCCCACATGTAGCTCTTGTCTGTACCATACCTGCACTGATGTGTGTCCCCCTATTTCTGGCAGTGGCTCTGTGCTTCTTCCATAGCTCAGTGCCCACTAGAGCCCCTCAGGGACCACAGGTGAAATGGTGAATAAAAGCCCAAACTCTCTTCTTCTGTAGTGCTGGGACTGAAACCAGTGGTTGTGCATGCCAGTCGAGTGTTCTACTATCGAACCATACCCAGCATGTTGGAACCCTGACTTTCTGCATCCTCCACACCAGGCCCCTGCTTGCACTATGGCCACTTGGGTGACCATGTCATCCCCCTGTTCTCTGAGGAGCTCTGATCCCCATAGAGAGACAGACACACTCTGACAGGCCAGGGCTGGGACAGAGTCAGGTAGCAAGAGAGAAAACAGTTCTGCACAGTGGGCAGAGGTGGACATCAGGCTGAGAGGCCGAGGAAGGAGCTGTGTGAGAAGTCTAGGATGGGAGAAGAGAGCAGCTTCTGACCCACCATCTGGAACTTTCCTAGAGGAGAGGGGTCAGGCTCAGGCGTGTGGAACTGAGAGTTCCTCAGGTCTCGCCCTGGCCAGAGGGAACATGAGCAAAGGCCAGGAGAGGTCAAGCTCTGGCATGTGTACTGCCCCAAGCCTGCAGGGTCGTCAGCTTCCGCTGTATTTACCATCAACACTAGATGTTGGTACACACCTCCACTTGAATTAGTCTCAAAAAAGAAAATTTATTAAAATGTTGAGGGTAAAGCACAGGCTTGGAGCAAGATTTCCAGGACAGAGACATCTAGAATCAGCTGATGCTGTTCCCCAGCTGATGTTGCAGGCAGAGAACAGATGCCTGTCCCTTCTCCAAGCCAACACCCTTGTAGCCCCTGCACCCAGGAAATCTGCTCCCCACTGGAGTCAGGTGGTCAGGGCAGGAGAAGGAGCTGAATGACAGGTCCCAGCTTCAGAGCGAAGTGTGTGCTGGGCTGTTCTCCTCTTGGTCCTCTGCATTCAGCAGAGAAGGCTGGGGTAGGGATTGCGGTTGTGCCCTTATGCCAAACTCAGAGTGGTTAAGCCACTGATCCAGAGTCACATTGAGGAGTGCTGGTGCCGGGACAATCCTTTAGAGCCACCAGGCTGCTTCTCACAGCTCAGGTCTGGTGCTAGATCCCCACACTTCCTGGCACAGCACCTGGCCTCTCTGTTCATGGGCTTAGGGTCAGGTTTAATGGATGTTGCAATGATGCCATTCCAGTGGTCTGGTACTGCATCCAGGTTCCTGAATTAAATGAGCTAATTTTAAGTTAAATTAAATTGTATAAATTTAACAAATAAATTTAATTTAATAAATCAAAGTAAATAAAATTAAATGAGGGGGCACCTAGGGTGTGGGTCTGCGTTACAGGAGGAGGTATGGTGTGAGGGTGACTATGAGGTTGGCTGTGGCTGAGCCTCAAGTGGGACAAACCACAGAACTTCCTCCCTGGCTTTAACCCTCTCCTCATGTACACCTCAAGAGCAGCCATTGCTTTTATTTAGTGCCTACTGTATTCCCGGCACTATGTTGAACCGGGACACTAGGTTGTCTGGGACTACCCTGCAAGGGTGGATTACTGTCGTCAGTCTGATGGGAGAGCCAGGCTGGTGTGGGACATGTCCAGGGTGCCACTGAGAGCAGGGTATGCAGTGGCTGCTGCGAGGTGTTGCACCCACAGCTCAGCAGCATCCATGCTTGGTAGGACCCAGCCACTTTGATTTCCTCAGTCACTCGATGTTGCTCCCTGGATAATCTATGCCAGATTCTGTCTCAGCTCTGCCCAACCTTCTATGGCTCCCTGTGGCTACAGGGCAGAGCAGTGCTGGTTTGATGTGATCCAGGCTTGCCTCCCTGATCTACCCTGCCCTCTTATAATGCCTGCCCTGGGCTCAGATTTCTCAAAGCTCCTTTGGGGAGCTCCTCACTCATACTGTGATGTCATTTATCCCCCTACTGTCCCTCACCCTCGGGCTGGACCTGGGGCTGGTCTCCTGTGCTCTGATTGCAAGTCTCTATCTGTGTCAGGCACTCACCCTGGCACACAGGGCTCAGTGAGTTTGTTGAATGAATGATAGAGTGCATGGGTGAAGGGCTGGACAGAGAAGCCACAGGGGACAGAAAGGTGGGGGCCCAAGCCTGGCCCAGCTCCTCCTAAACCTATCTGCACCTTGCAGCTCCTCCCCAGTCTCTTCTCCTGGCTAAGGGCTCTGTCCCTCTCTCCCCCAGGCTGTTACCGATACAGCTACGTGAGCCAGAGCCAGGCCCTCCGGCTGAAGGGACCGGACCACCAGGCGTCCAGCTGCCTGTGGCATCTACAAGGGCCTGAGGATCTCATGCTCAAACTGCGGCTTGAGTGGACCCGGGTTGATTGCCGTGACCGAGTGGCAATGTACGATGCGGCTGGGCCCTTGGAGAAGAGGCTGATCACCTCGTGAGTCCCCAAAAGGCTGAGGGAGACCCAGGGTCAAAGGCCACACTCTGTAAGATGAGACCAGGGAATGTATCCCTAGGCCTGTAAGGCTGGTGTGGAGCACAGGTGAAGATGGGGCTGGAAACAGTTGTGTAGTCCCCACACCCTGCTCCCAGCCTCAGTTTCTCCATTAGGATGTAACAAAGCAGTTGTTCTAAGTGACCCCTAAGGTCAGCTCTGGGAGGGCACGTGGCTTAGTGACTACTCCAGTGTCTGGCAGCAGCTTGGTCTTCTAGGTGCCACTCTGTTGCATCCCAGCTGTGCGCCCTAACACAAGACTTTGCCCTTCTGAACCTCAACCTTCTCATATGTAAAATGAATGTTTGCTCATGATCACCTTTCAGCACTACTGTGAGAATTCAAATGTCACATATTGTACACTTTGTACCACAAAGTGAATGTCTAAGAAATGTGGCCATCGTGACCCAACCCTAAGGGCATTGAGTGCCTGGAGTTTAATTTGGATTTTAATAGTTGGTAAGTAAGGCAAACCAGAAATGAAAGTGTAGGTATTGAAGCTGAAGGGCTCCAGGCCTCTCTTCATCCTAATATCTTACCCCCAGCTCCCAGGGAGACAAGATACCAAAGATAGGGAGGCCACAGTACTACAGGATGGGGGCACCCCAGTAGGAAGACAGGCCAGTGCTAAAAGCAGAAGGCGTGGGAGGCTGCTTCTTCCTCCACAGGACAGAGGCAGGAGGCTAGGCGAGCACCCTGCCCTACCTGGCGGTTGGAAACTCCTGGGAGCATCTTTAGCTCACACTGCCTGGCTGCTGGAGGTGATCTTGAGGTCATGCACAGAGTCTCCAGTACTCACTATCCTAAGAATGCCCACCCACTCCGCCAAGGCCCAGTGGCTGACACCGTAGACAGGCAGGACAGGACACAAATTCTAATGACCCTCTCTACAGCAGCAGAGGGGTCGGCTTTCAGGGGCTTGGGATCAGCAAAGACTTCAAAGGTTGGTGAGGGGATGGGAGGCTGGGGTGTCTCTGAGACAGGTATGCTAGGGGCACTCCCATGTGGGAAAGGGGTCAGTTGTCACCATGCTACTGGGTGCACACCTGCCCCTGCAGGGATAGCTGGGCCCGCAGTTTTCCTGCCTGGAAGCCCAGCAGTTGACCTTGACAATCTCAGATATTAATCTTTTGAAGGCTAATATCTGACTTGCAAAACCTTAAGACATGGTTACATATTCTGAGCTTCCAGCCTCAAGCTCTGGATAGATGCTGGGGGTACCCCGGGGTTGCGAGACCACACACCTGCTCGCTTCCTGTCAGCCTCCAGCACAGTTAGGAGTTTGGTGCAGGCAGCCATAAGGGTGAGCGGACCCTTCAGGTGCTGGCCTGGTCTCCCTCCTAGGAGCAGTGGCTCCCAGGCGACTGACCTGGAGAAGGCCAGGTTCCTGCTGAAGGTTACACAACAGGACCTGGACCTAGAGCCAGGTGTACGGGCCCTGCACATCCTCCTGTCCATCTGTGCCCTGCCGTTCTTTCCGTGTACTCCCCGTGCTGCCCTCACCTGCCCTCGCACGCACCCTCCTCTGTTCCACCAGGGTCTACGGGTGCAGCCGCCAGGAGCCCGTGATGGAGGTGTTGGCGTCAGGAGCTGTCATGGCGGTGGTGTGGAAAAAGGGCCTGCACAGCTACTACGACCCCTTTGTGCTCTCCGTGCAGCCTGTGGCCCTCCAGGGTGAGGGTCCTCAGGGAGGGGAATGGACATAAGCCCCATCTCCCAAGGCATACTACACCATCTCTGCTCTTGTGGAGATGGAGTGGGTTCTAAAACCTCCTCTGCTACTTAGCTCTCTCTCTCCCTCTCTCTCCCTCTCTCTCTCCCCCTCTCTCTCTCTCCTCTCTCTCCTCTCTCTTCTCTCTCTCCCCTCCTCTCCTCTCTCTCTTTCTCTCTCTCCCTCTCTCCCTCCTCTCTCTCTCCTCTCTCTCTCTCTCTCTCTCTCTCTCTCTCTCTCTCTGAGGGTGACCTCTGGTCTCCACATGCGTATGCACCTACCTGCACACTCTCTCTCTCTCTCTCTCTCTCTCTCTCTCTCTCCCCAAGGCCTTGAGAATGTAGGGAGTCAGCCTCAGGTTGTCCCCAGCAAAAGTGTCCAGGGTAGGGTCTCCCCTGGACGACCTTCTTTGGCCCTCCTCAGCCTCCCTGCTTCCTCCCCACCCTCCCTCTTCCTCTGGCTTCCTGTTCCCACCCACCCCTGCTCCCCTGGCTATCCTCTGGACCAGTAGAGTCAAACTTGTAGTCTTTCCTGAGCTAGGGCTGGGAGGCCTATGCAGGCCCCTTGCTGTTCACAGCTATCTCCTCCTGCCCATCTCTCAAGGTTGCTTCCTGTTCTCCTGAGTCAACCCTGGGGTTCCCAGCAGTGACGCACTCACGTCCCAATCTGGCCCTGCAGTGTGTGATATCTGATGCTCTTTGGGTTCTTAGACTCCAGAGGAAGCCATGGAAGGGCTCAGTGATCTTGACCCTGGGGAGAAGTGGCCAGAGTACCTAATGTCACTGCCTGCTTCCAGCTCCCCAACACCCTCCCCCAACCTCTCCCTGGGTGACACAACCAAGCCTTTTTCTCTAAAATTCATTGTGTCTGGGGTGGGGGTGCTAGGATGGACCCCCCAGGGCCTTTGTACATGTTAAGTAAATGTTCTACCACTGAGCCATGCCCTCAGCCCACCTCCTATTCAGTTTTTTTAATTTTATTTTTATGTGCATGAGTGTTTTTGCCTACATGTAGGTAAGTGCACCTGTGCATGCAGTGTCTTGCAGAGGCCAGAAGAGGGCATTGGATCCCCAGAACTGGAGTTGCTGGTGGTTGTTAGCCACCATGTATGAGATGCTGAGAACTGAACCCAGGTCCTCTGGAAGAGCAACAAGTGCTCTTAACTGCTGTGCTATCTCTCTAGCCCCCAAACCTCCTCTTTGAAAAGGGAAAAGCCCTCCATCCCTAGCCATACTCAGCTGGTCGTAAGCACATTTTGCATGCTGTTGAGTGCTGTGCTCTGGTCACATGGTAAGGTACCTGGTAGGCTGATGGGATGGAACCTACTGTGCCTATTTTATCTGCTCACTGTCAGTGACCTGTGCACGCTTCTCCCCATTTTACAGAAGAGGAAACTGAGGCATGTCTACATAGTCATGCTCGGCCCCAGGCTTTGCTGTTAGAGGTGGCGGGGTGTGGGGACCAAGGTGGGAAGGGCTGAGGGACTCAGTCTCATGTCTTTTCTTGAACTCAGATTGCCAAGTGAACCTGACACTGGAGGGCCGACTGGACAAGCAGGGCTTCCTCAGCACACCCTACTTCCCTAGCTACTATTCACCCAGCACCCACTGCTCCTGGCATCTCACAGTGAGTTCCATCCTACCAGCCACCTGCCTTCTGCTCAGGCCAATCTGTGGGGAGGGAGCAGCATCCTATCCTGCCCAGTACCACAGACTAAATACAACATCTTCTAGGAGGGTGGGGGTTGTGGCCAGGACCTCCCTTTGTTGGGCCTAGTGACATCTGTCTGTTGAATGACTGCCAGACCTCAGCCCCACCTGGTGCTGTGTCAGTGGGCCACCTTCTGCCTATTTATCTGAGGAGCTGGGTGCCCCAGCTTGGCCACCAATGACCTGCCCCTCCATCCCAGGTACCCTCTCTGGACTACGGCTTGGCACTCTGGTTTGACGCCTATGCACTGAGGAGACAGAAGTACGATGTGCCATGTACACAAGGCCAATGGATGATACAGAACAGGAGGTATCTCCTCATTCCATCCCTCTTCCCCATGGGAACCTAGTGAACCACAGCCTGGCATGGGGGACAGCAAAGGGGAGTAAGCAGAGGCTGGGAATGGTGAAGTCTGCTGTGTGGACCCTGTTCCCCTTGTCCTGACTCCCCCAACTTTGACCTCAGCCCTTCCTGCTGCCTCATCGACCCCAGACACCATCTTGTCAACTGACAAGTTTACCAGGCAGGGTAAATGGGGTCTCTGCCTTGCTGTCTGTAACCATGTGTCTGACATCCTACCATGAATCCACCAACCATGGGGACAATGGCACAGGGAGGCACCTCTTGTCTTTGCTCTGCTCCCCGCATAGCCAGAGGCAGCCGCCGTCTTTGGTACCATTGGCTTCCACAGTTTCCCCTGGTTCACACGGCTGCCCTGCATGCTTGTGGCCCCTGTAGGGTGTCTACCCAGTTCCCTGCTCCTACCCTTAGCCCCCTGGTGAGGAAGTTTCTAACTAAGAAGAACATCCTAGGGATGTGGCAGAGGACAGAGGGACCTGGAAAGTGAGGCACGTTACCACGGTCAATGTGTCTAGGGGGTTGGCCAGAAGAGTGACAGGGAGTGTCCCTCAGGACCAGAGTAGGTGAGGGTGAGCAGGGACAGCAGGGAGTACAGGCACTATTCACTTTGTCTGGGTAAAGGAGGGTCAGGACATCTGGGGGACACTAAGTGGAAGATTCCACTCCAATATCTCACCCCATGAATGGTGAAGGAGAGATGTGTATAGAGAGGAGGTCCTGGATAGTCATGGCAAAGTTGGGTGACCAGGTGAGAGGGGTCACCATCTAACAGACTGAACTCAGACAATTCTAGAATTCTTTTTTAAAAATTATTTAAAAATTTTCATGTGTATGAGTATATTACCTGCATGTGTATAAGTACACTCACGTTGTGCAATGCCCATGGAGGTCAGAAGAGGGCATCGGATTCCCGTGGAACTGGGGTTACGATGGTTGTTAGCCACCATGTGGGTGCTGGGAATCGAACCTGCATCCTCTGCAAGAGCAGCCAGTGCTCTTAACCGCTGAGCCATCTCTCCAGCACCAACAATTCTAGAATTCTTGACTGTTGAACTTCACAGATTTTGAGCATCTAAGACAGTGTGGTAAAGTTGGAGGTTTCTAGGGCTCTCAGACTCCTGGAGTCTGTGGCTGGTGTCCCCGTTTGCCTGTCCATTGATCCGATTCCAAAGCATCATCCAGACTGAAAATGGCAGGGGTGAGGTTGCTTGTTCCGTGTTTCTGCTCTGTTTGGTTTTGTTCTGGGGTTTTTGTAATTTATTAGGGACAGTGACAAACAGGAAGGAAAAATGCCCATAGTGTGGTATGGGGCCATGCTGTTGGGGTGATAGGCTCAGTGTGACGTGGGGCCATGCTGTTGGGGTGACGGGTTCAGTGTGACGTGGGGCCATGCTGTTGGGGAGACGGGCTCAGTGTGACGTGGGGCCATGCTGTTGGGGTGATGGGCTCAGTGTGACGTGGGGCCATGCTGTTGGGGTGACGGGCTCAGTGTGATGTGGGGCCATGCAGTTGGGGTGACGGGCTCATGGTGTGACTTGCCTCTGTGCTATCTGGGGACAGGAAGGTATCTCCTAGCACATGGAGGAGGGTACTGCTGACATGGCTGCCCTTCACCGAGTTCCCTTGGGTGCCCTGGCCACCTGCCTGTGCTGAGGGTGGCTGAGCTCCCACTTTCTCATCAGAGCTCTGGTGTCTTGGCTTTGGTTCATGTCTCAAACTCCGTGAATCAAAGTGTGGTGTTTTCTGCCACGCTTCCTCCCTGAGCCGAATCTGCTGTCTCTGGGAGACCAGAGGGAGAGGGAGCAGCCTCAGCCTAGCCTCAGCCCCGACACCTCTCCTGGGGCTGCACCCACAGTCATCATATTAGTCGAGGCTGGTCCCAACTAAGTGCTGTGGGCCCTGAAGCTCAGGGCTCAGAACTCAGCTTTAGCCACGGTCACGGGTTTCACTCTGCTCCCTGAGAGTCAGGAAAGGGGACTTAGCAGGATGGGGTAGCCCAAGTTGGTACAGGCAGGCCTCTCCCCCATACACGGTTACCAGCCACAGGCAGGCAAACCAGGGCTCAAAACTTGGGTCCTCCCAGCTTCAGGGAACTCATCTCAAAATGTTGAGGTTGAAATGGGACTCTGAGGGAGAAGCACTTGCCTAGTATGTAGGAATCCCTGGGTCTCATCCCAGTAACCCAATAATAATAATAATAATAATGTAAGAAAGAGGGTAGGGGCTGGCAAGATGGCTCAGTGGGTAAATGTGCTTGCTACCAAGCCTGAGGACCTGAGTTCAAGCCCTTGAACCTACAAGTGGACCTCCCACAAGTTGTCTTCTGACCTCCACATAGATGCTGTGCACACACACACACACACACACACACACACACAAAGAAAGGACACAGAACAGACCCTCTTCTGCTAAAGACTAAATAAAAGGATAGGTGGCGAATGGTACCACAGCCAGGCCTGTATAAATCACAGCTCCATGTGGCACGAACTGCATCGTTAACTGGCTCTTACTCTGTGCCAGGAAAGTGTGGAGCAAAGGGGTTATAGTACTGCCTATAACATAGGAAGGAAGCAGGTACTCAGATTAGTGTCCTAGTCTGTTTCTTTGGCTATAACAAAATCCCCAAGGCAGGGAGGGAAGTTTATAAAGAATAGAGCTCTGCTTAGGTCATAGCCCTAGGGGCTGGAAGTCCTGCAGGGGCACAACGTAGCCGAAGGTGTCACAATGTGAGGCAGGGACAAACTGGCTTGTATGACCCATTGGTGCTTCTGTTCCTCCATCTACTAATTCATGAATAAATAGGTAAATGCATTTCAGTGGAGCCCCTGAACACTCACCTCCCACCTCCAAAAACCATTAACATATGACTTTGGGGATCAGATTTCCAATCGGGTTTTTCAGGGGACAGCTCCAAAGCCCAGCAGCCAGTGGGGAGCCCGAGGCACAAAGTCTGAGTCATTTGTGAAAGCCCCTGTGGCTTGTGACATCACCATTGACTGCGAAACAACATCTGTCCACATGTGCTCCTGTGCGTGCCAGTGCTCGCACTTGGGTGGTGTTCCCCCCCAACACCCCACCCCACCAGGCTCCAAGCAGCCTGTGCTGGCTGCTGTCTCTCAAAAGAGCCATTACCATCCACAGCGCCACTTGCTGGTGGGAGGATGGGCCAGTTCCTCTGAGAGTATCCAGGGAAGTCCCACCTCATCTCAAATTTTCACTTGCATTCCCCCAGTGAAGAATCATCTCCCTGCCCTGTTCCATGCCTGGCAGAAGGGAAGGTGTGGTAGGAACCACATAGCAGAGGCCCTGGCCTCTGCTAATCATGGATTGATAACAATCACCTGTCACTGCTGGGAAATTCTCTGAAAAGTATGTCTGGGAAAATCCTCTGTGTGGGTGGCAGAGGCCTGAGAGCAGGAGGAGGAAGAGAAGGAGGCCACGTCCTTTGGTCTAGTGATCGAGGGAGGTGTTTGGACCCCTGTCCCCAGGTCCCAGCATAGTGACAAGGCAAGACTGGCTGGGGCCTCTACTGGCTGCGTGCCCTTATCCCTGCCCCCTGCCTTCCTTGCCTTTTGGGTCCCCTCCCACCCTGGTAAAGTCCTTATACCCTTTGGTGGCCTGCAGAAGATAGGGGAGCTTGTCCTTGTAAGATCTGACCACTTACTGCTGATTTCACAGAACTCCCTCCCTGGTGCCACTGCGGTGTCAGCTTCCCCCTTTCTGGGAACCTGCCCTCGCCAGCTTCCTCTCCAGTGATGTCACTCTTCTGTGACCTGCCTGGCCCTTTCTATTGGCTTCTAGCCATGAGGTCAGGCATAACTGTAGGCTCTTGAGGCCTGGGCCTGGCCTGGTCTGACCACTTACTGCTGATTTCACAGAACTCCCTCCCTGGTGCCACCGCAGTGTCAGCTTCCCCCTTTCTGGGAACCTGCCCTCGCCAGCTTCCTCTCCAGTGATGTCACTCTTCTGTGACCTGCCTGGCCCTTTCTATTGGCTTCTAGCCATGAGGTCAGGCATAACTGTAGGCTCTTGAGGCCTGGGCCTGGCCTGGCTCTGTGTGGACAGAGCTGTTGCTTCTTTAAGGCCGTGTGGTCAGTGCCACCTGCGGCTACCCTGTGTTGGGTGTAGCTCCCCCAAAAAACCATTTTCTCTGGTCCACCCTAAAATGTTGGCTGGAAGCAGGAGGCAGGGGAGTGCTGTCTCCTAGCTACGGTGTCTTCACAGCACTAAGGCCTGAAATCTGACATCCTTACCTCAGCATCCTGTACCCAAGGTCGCACACCTGTATTCAAGGTCAGGTGGCAAAGCCAAGTTTCACTCAGCTCTGCAGTGCCAGGTCAGTAATGCTCTGGCCGCCACAGTGGATGACACTGCCCCCTCTTCAGTGCTGCCTCTGCCCTCCTTTCTTTTGTCTTGTCTTAGGAAAAGGCATGTGTGATGTGTGGCCCTCCTTCCCTCCCTCTGTCTTTTCCTCCCTCTTTTCCTTTTCTTCCACCCGAGTCTGCTCGTCCACTCAGTATCCCTCTTAATTCCTGTGTGAAGTTTCTGACATGCAAGATGACCAGCGTCCTTGCAGAGCATCTGGATGAGGCTGAAGAAAAGATCCCCCCAAACACAGAGAGGTTACAGCAAGGCAAGTCACACAGTGGCCCAACACCAGCAGTTAGCTGTTGAGGTGATGGGTGCCAGTCACCAGCCTCCCAGTCCTTCCCGGAAAGGGCCCGGTGGACAGGAGGAACGGCTAGCTAGAAAGTCCTACAGCAAACCCAGCAGGGCCAAGGGAAGGGCCAGATGGAGGCTTCTAGAAGCTACTGCGCAGGGAGAGGTGGATCTGGCCAGCGGAGCCACACAGCCTGCCTGCTTGTTCCAGTCAGCGTTAAGCCTGAGAAATTTAGAAATGTTTATTTCATTAGTTCCTTCTCAGTTGCCCATAATCTGTGATTGGAAAATATGAAGTGGAAAATTCCAGAAATGAATCTATTTTGTTATTAATTACGACTCTTTTCCTATGCCTAATTTACAAAGTAAGATGTATATATAAGAAAGCATAGGATTTCTAGAGTTTGGTACTAGCTGGACTCTTGGGGGCAATGAGGGGAATTCCTGTGATTATCATGTTTTAACATAAATAACATTTTATTTTTAAAAAATCACATTTCTGCTGGGTGTGGTGGTGCATGCCTTTAATCCCAGCACTTGGGAGGCAGAGGCAGGCGGATCTCTGTGAGTTCAAGGCCAGCCTGGTCTACATAGTGAGTTCCAGGACAGCTGTCTCAAAAAGACGGAAAAAAAAAATCACATTTCCCTAATACCCTGTCCACTTCTTGTGACAGTTCTCTGAGGATAACAATCCATGATCATATATGTTTACTCACAAGAAAAATTAGTGTTTCTTTAGCTTTGGGGGGGGGGGGGGGGGAAGGGCAAAAGGCAAGAAGGGCTGGGCTTGGTCTGGGGTGCCCCCTAGTGGTAATCATCCCCATTCGACCGGCAGCTGGGCTGTAGGGGTGAAGGCAGGACTGTCGTTCTCACAGTGTTCCCTCTCTGGACCCTTTTATTCTTTGTCAAACGAGCAAACACCCTAGCGTTCATCGATACAAATACCCCTTGGCATTCTTTGCAACTTTCTTTAGTAACTGGCTTAATAGACTACAACTGAATCCTCACATCAGATGCTTCAATCAGTCAGTTACAATGGCACATATCACCTCTCTGGAAAATTCTGCTGTATTGTTGTGAGAGAATGTGAGCAAAAAAGATCAAATGGCTTGTGAGTGTTGCTTTGAAGATGACTTTCAAATCCCCAGGGGTCCCTGGACTGCTCTTTAAAAAAACTACTAGTGGGTGTGAAGGCTCAGATACTGTCTCTGTGGTCAGACATGCCAACTGGGAGGGTAGAGTCCGGCCAGGAACTTGAGGGTAAGAGGTCAGGGATTTGGGGGCTAAATCCCCAGAACTCCTCCTTCCATGAGAATTCCCTGGACTTGAAGGGTCTGGCTTCTCAACTCACAGTGCACTTCCCTGGAGCATCTCTGTTCATGGGCTGAGCAGGCCTCCCTGGCTGGCAGAATATTCACCAAGGTCTCAGAGACTGTGCAGTGAGGTCGCCTGTGTCAATGCCAGTGACAGAGAACCTGTGAAGACCAGCCCCATGCCTTAGGATGTTAAACAACCTGAGGCCCATCCATTGACCTGCTGTGCCCCTCATTCTGGTAGTCCTGGGGATGTGTTGGCTGTGGGAACGAGGCAGCCTATTTTAGACATGTTGTGTGTCTCTGGCTGTTCTCACTGTACTGGGGGCACCCTCTACGATCTTGTCTTCCTCTATGTCTCCCATGGGGTGTCTTCATGCTTTCTGCAGGTCCTAAGTCTGTGTTCTGGGTGTGTCCCCCATCTGCAAAGTCCTTCCTGTTCACTCTGTGAGACACTCTTCTCCCTGGGGAGGGACATACTTGGGGGCTGATGGAGCACCCCACTGTTCTGTGAGGGAGCCCACCTGTTAGGAAAAGACAGCCAGCTGCACTATATGAGGGTTCTGCTGTGCTGAGAGCAGGCACTCAGAAGTCATGCCACCTGCTCTTCGAGGTGAGACACTCCCAGCCCCAAACAGCCTGCCCCGACCTGGGGCTGGAAAGGCTCTGCCTTGCTGTGGTGTGCCCCACCCTGGGGCTGGCAGTGTGGAAACAGCTTCTGGCACTGCCCTATGGGTCTTAGAGGAAGGGCCTGTCCTCACTTAGGTCTGGAGGGCCCAAAGGATGACTCCTCAGGCAGGTCAGTGCTGGATGGGGATGCCGCTGCCTCTCACCCATCAAGCACAAGGCACCACCTTCCTGCCTACAAACTGTGGACTGGCATCTGCTGACATACAGCAGATTCAAGGTCAGCAGAGATGACCATTTTCCTCATGGGATAAGGGAGATTCAGAGGAGGACTCTGATTTGCTAGACTCTCAGAGCCTATAGGTGACTGATGTTAGAATCTGGACTGAATTTAATCCGACAGGCAATGCAGAGGGAACCACTGCAGGTTTTCTACCAGGGAGTGACATAGCCAGGCTCCTTTCTAGAAGATGATCCTGCAGTTGAACAGTCATCCAAAGGAGGAATCAAGACAGAGGCTGTGTGGGAGGGGTGTGGTTTCCCATTGCTTCTGGCTGCCCCACCTTTGCTGTGTCAGTGCACGGGGACCCAGGCTGTGCCTTCCCTCAGACTGGAAAACCAGCACGTGTGTCTGAGACATCCCTGGTCACCCTTAGGCTGTGTGGCTTCCGCACCCTGCAGCCATATGCAGAGAGGATCCCTGTGGTGGCCTCCACTGGCATCACGGTCAACTTCACCTCCCAGATCTCCCTCACAGGGCCTGGAATGCAAGTGTACTACAGTCTGTACAACCAGTCAGACCGTGAGTATAGTGGGAGGGAGGAGCCCTGTGGCCTCTCCCTGGCCCTTCTGTGTCCCCAGATGTGTACAGCTGTTTGTGAGGCTGGACAGCAGTCAGATATGCGTGTGTGTGTGTTTGTGTGTGTGTGTTTGTGTGTGTGTGCACGCATGCGCTTGGGAATGAGCCAATGCACTCAGTTCTGTGTGTCACATGCAGGTAGGCAGTCATGTATGCCTATGTCTGAATGGGCCATGGACACAAGTGCCTGAGCAGGTATGTGGGCATGCGTTTGTGTGTGTGAGGACCCAGGAATATATATCCCATGCCATATGCCTTAATGGTGTCCTTCTGCTTCCATGGCCTCCTGTGTGTCCCCAGCCTGCCCTGGAGAGTTCCTTTGCTCTGTGAATGGACTGTGTGTCCCCGCCTGTGATGGGATCAAGGACTGTCCCAATGGCCTGGATGAGAGAAACTGTGGTGAGCAGCCTGCCACCACCCCTGCCCTGCCCTTGTTCCTTGCACTGAGCTAAGTCTCCCTCACATATGGTTCTCCTATGAGCACCCAGAAAGTGGGGTTACTGTACTATGTTGGGGTGGCAAGAGGAAGGCAGAGTAAGAAAGTGGCCTCCTCAGGGTCACCAGCCCCCTGGGACAAGCTGGAGCCCTTAGCTCAGGTTTCACCCTCTACTCCAGGCTAATGCCTCAACCGCCTGTCCTGGCCAGTCTTCTGAAAAAGAGCAAAGAGGGAAGGGCAGGAGGCAAGAAAAAATAGCTGTAATACCAGGACTGTCAGGTCCAGGGGGGCAGGGGGGCAGGGGACCATGGTGCCAGGGTAGGAACCCTGTATCTCCTTCCTTGAATGGGGTCCTCCTCCCTCCAACCTGGGTGGGGCTCAAGGCCTGATGGTCTCCAGACCAGGGCTCTCCTGGAACAACACCTTTTCCCTAGAGCCACCATCTAGGCTTCCAAGCATCCAGGTACCCCAGGAACCCCCCATCTGCCTTGTCGTTCTTAGTCTGTTAGGAGAAAGCTAGAAGAGGTGTACCCCTCCAGACAATCCCTCCCACATGCTAGGGAAGGCACTTCACACTTGAAACTAAGCATCTGGGGACCTAGGCGTAGTCTCTCACATCTGTTTCTGCCCAAAATGGGAATTTTCAGGATTGCTATGGGGTGGGTGTATAGGAGCCAACAAAGATTTGTAATGGGGGACATGTAATAAAGGGCACATCTACTGGCACTCAAAGCCCCACCCTGGCCCTCTGGCTACGCCTAGCTGGCTCCTCTCTGTCCCCACAGTCTGCAGAGCCATGTTCCAGTGCCAAGAAGACAGCACATGCATCTCACTGTCCAGAGTCTGTGACCAGCAGCCCGACTGTCTCAATGGCAGTGATGAGGAGGAGTGCCAGGAAGGTAGGGTGAGACCCATCCAGGATCTTGACGGAGATCAAGGGGGTCACAGTGAGGCATTTCACCCTTCATATGCTTTTCCTACAAAGATTTCTGCTCTCTCATCCAAGTACCACCAGCCCGCTATGCCTTTATGTCAGCATGTTCATTTGTCCACTCAGAGATCTACCCACCCACCTACCCATCCATCCATCTGTCCATCCATCCATCCACCCATCCATCTGTTCACCTATCCATCCACTCAACCATCTACCTATGCACCCACCCAACTATACAATATCCATCCATTCACTCATTCACCCATCCATCTCTCCATCCATCCATTCACCACACATCTACCCTTCTACCCACTCATTTATCAAACTATCTAATATCCATCCATGCACCCACTGACTCATGCATCCACCCATCCATCATCACCTGTCCGTATATCCATTCACTCACTTATCTGTCCACCTATTGATCCAAGTATCCAACATTTATTTACTCGCCTGTCCATTTGTCCAACCTTTCATTCATCCATCTATCCACCCATCACGCATCCATTCACCATCCACCTGTCCATCCATCATCTATCATCTATCTATCTATCTATCTATCTATCTATCTATCTATCTATCTATCATCTATCTATCTATCATCATCCTCTATCGTCTATCTAACCATCCATCCACCTAGCCATCTAAGTATCCAACATTTATCCACTCACCCATCCATCAATCTGCACCCACCTACCCATCCATCATCCATCCATCCATCCATCCAACCATCTGTCCATTCATCCATCCATCATTCATCCACCTACCCATCTGTCCAATTATCCAATATCCATATGTTCATCCATCCATTCACCCATCATTCACCTTTCCATCACCTGCTCTCCTAAATCACCTTTCTCTCCATGGATTCACATGATCACTTGTTTATTCACAGATCCACTGACCTGCCAACCATCTTCTGTATACCCATTGACTATCAATGTCCCCATTTTTCCAACTACCTGCCTAGAAGTCCATTTATCTATCCAGATACTAGTCAGTTAGTTGTACATTCACCTATCCACCTGCCCATCCAACTGACAAACCACCCAACACTAGCAGGTTACCCAGTGATGGGAGAGGTGCAGTGAGGGTGTAGAAATAAGACAGTAGGGATGTGCCTACCCTCAAGAGGTTATATGCTAGTAGGAGAGTATTATGGGTGACCCAAAGCCTTTGCGATACCGTGGAAGGGCACAGAAAGCTTCCTAGAGAAGGCAGGCCTTTAGCTGGGTCTTATCAAGAATTAGAATTTAAATAGAATGGAGGGAAGCAAGGAGAGCCGGTGCAGAGCAGGTGATGGTGGGAAGTCCATTACAGTGAAGAGCAGAGTGAGCACCTTCATCTGGTGGGGCAGCATTGCCCTGCCCTTGGTCCCAAGTGTGATGGTGGGAACATGATTTTGTCTTCAGGGACCTTATGGGAGTATGAAGTCAGCAACACCAGTCTAGGAGAGGGGACACAGGCTAGGCTGAGTGTGGGACAGGGACATGAGTCTTCACTAGAGAAGACTCTGAACAGCTCAGTTGAATGAGATCCCTCCCTAGTCCCTGGCCTCTCCTGGTGCCATCTTTTCTGGGTCACACTTTGGAAGGCTCCCTTGGGGCTTACAGACCCACCTTAGGTGGCCTGCCTGACCCCCTCCATCCCAGGAGTGCCTTGTGGGGCGTTCACCTTCCAGTGTGAGGACCAGAGCTGTGTGAAGAAGCCCAACCCAGAGTGTGATGGGTGGCCAGACTGCAGGGATAAGTCCGATGAGCTCCACTGCGGTAAGCCTGACAGCTGCAGCTGTGTGTGAGGATCAGGCCTCCGGAGGGGGCAGGGAACCTCACTGGGAAGCCAGAGGGGGTGTCCCCTGCATGTCTGTTCTGTACCTATTTTTACCACTGTGTCCTGGGCCTATTTCTCCTTCATTCTTTCCTGTCTCTCCATCACTTTCCTGTGTTTCTCGCTAGCCTTTCTCCACCCCACCCCCAACCCTGTCTACCCTGGCCTTCTCTCATCCCCAGACTGTGGCCTCCAGGGCCCCACTGGCCGCATTGTGGGCGGGGCTGTGTCCTCCGAGGGTGAGTGGCCATGGCAGGCCAGCCTCCAGATTCGGGGTCGACACATCTGTGGAGGGGCCCTCATCGCTAACCGCTGGGTCATAACGGCTGCCCACTGCTTCCAGGAGGACAGGTGAGGAGGCAATACAGGGCCTGCACTGTAAGAGGTGGGCATAGGGAAGGCCACATGGGAGGTACAATGTGGAGACTATACACAGAGGAAAGGGTTGGGAAGAGCTCTAGATTGACTGACATGTGGAATCTGGTCTGGTTCCACTCTGAACATGCTGAGTTGCAGGCCGATTATTTAACCTCTTTGTGATCTCCTTCGCTGTCTTGCTTTGAGTTTGTGATTCATTTACTTGTCCATTCATTCAACAATATTGGTTGTGTTCCTAGTACATGCCAGGGGCTATGCTGGGCACTGGGGACATGGCAGAGGAGAGAACTGCCCAAGCTGGCCACAAGCCACAACCCCTACCAGAAGTTGAGCTGTGACAGGGGATGGTGGGTGTGTGGGGTGAGGAAAACCCCCAGGGGACAATTCACTGGTCCTACACCTACTTTCCCTGGGGAGCTGAACCCCCTCCAGCCCTAGTCAGAGCTGGGCACCAGACCCCCAGGCCCCTTCAATAGCAGTCAGTTCTCTGTCCTCTGGGGACCCACTTATCTTCCCTAGGTGCACTCTGCTCTCCCCACCTGCTCTCTTCATTCCCCCACTAACTTCTGCACTGAGCCTCAGCCCTCCCCGTGCAGAGTCTGTAAAGTGGGCTACAAACAAGGAGAGAAACTTCTGCCTCCAGCCTGGAGCTCAGCTTGTTTTGTTACATGTGCCTTATTGGAGTCTCCTAAGAACACAGAAACTGGCCCCATTTCACAGAGGACAGGGCTTAGCTAGTGAGGGGCAGGGAGCAAGGCCGGAGAACCCAGGTGAGGGCTCAGCACTGTACCCAGCAGCCACAGGCTTCAGGGAAGAATGAAAAGAGGGTGTGTGGGGGGAGTGTTTCCCACCCCCTTGGGGAACCTACCTGTTGCCATCTGGGTCCCTGGATGGGAGAAGCAGCTGCTGAGCTGTGACCCCTTCCCCCTTCCGCTGCCCAGCATGGTCTCCCCGACACTGTGGACCGTGTTCCTGGGCAAGGTTCAGCAGAACTCGCGCTGGCCAGGAGAGGTGTCCTTCAAGGTGAACCGCCTGTTTCTCCACCCATACCATGAGGAGGATAGCCATGACTACGATGTGGCCTTGCTGCAGCTGGACCACCCTGTGGTGTACTCGGCCACTGTGCGCCCTGTCTGCCTCCCTGCACATTCCCACTTCTTTGAGCCAGGCCAGCACTGCTGGATCACGGGCTGGGGTGCACTGCGAGAGGGCGGTGAGCGGGGACAGGCTGTGGGATTGGGGACCTCGGGTATGGGTCAGCATCCAGCAATATCTGGGCTTGGAGGTGGGTGGTCAGGGCCCCAGGGCTCCACCTCTGGGCCCTCTAGCTCTGGGATTCAATGCAGCTGGATCTTACAAGAGAAAATCTACAATACTGCCTGTGCGTCCTGCCACTGCCCTCATGGTTCTTGCTTCCCTTGGAAGGCACTGAAGAATCTAGGTCAGGGGTCATATGTGTGGGGGCTCGGAGACAGCCAGGAATATCGCACCTCCTCAGAGGGAAGGTGAGGGTTAGAGGGGGCTCTTTGTCACTGCAGACTAATTCAGGGCAAGATGTCATAAAATCCACTCAGTTTAAGCATGGGCACTATGGTCCCACTTTGTGGATGAGGAAACTGAGGCTGAGTCACCCAGCGCTTATTGAAAGCCACCCATACAGGAGCATTGAACAGAGGCTTGACCCGGGACTGCCCCACTCCAGGGCCACCGTGTTGCTCTTGCTACTGTTGCCAGAATGGGGATTGCTCCACTCCTGGCCTTGACCAGAGCTGCCACCGAGAGGCTGCCAACATAGACTTAACTATAACACCTTGTCTGCAACTTTAGTGTGCGGTGATTCACCGCCTGGTGGTAGGATGGCAGGTGTCTTGTAGTGCTGGGGTCTGGATCCTGAGCCTCACCTGTGCCAAGGCAAGTGCTCCATCACCGAACCACACCCCAGCCTCCACTGAGCTGTTTTAAAGATGGGAAAACTGAGGCTCGGGTGAAAGGCTATTTGTCCAAAATGATGACAGTGGCAACTCAAGGGTCACTTGTTCACTCAGCAATACCAGCACCTACTATATCCAACAACACATGCATGAGTGCCTACTGTGTGCCAATCATCAAGACAGAGAAAGGGGATGAACATGAGACATTCTTGGGAAAGGCAGACCATGCTAAGAGCTACCACAGTCAGGGATGTTGAACAGCCTAGAAGGCTCCTGCTCAGCATGGCCAGGAAGGTTTAAGGAGGAGAGCAGTTTACGCTGGGATGAGTACTGAGCAGCGCCCCAGGAGACAGGCATTCTGGGTGGAGGAACAGGTGTCAGACAGGAAGACCTGAGGGCCTCACCAGCAGCTAGCTAGGGTCTGGGGTATCCTAGAAGACAAATGAGCCTTACGGGCCACCATAGGGATCTTGGGCAAGAAGTTCTCCCCACATGCATCTTAGAACCACCTGAGAAGCTTCAAAACTCTGATGTCTGGCCCAGGACTGGACAGATGGCTACTATCACTCAGGAGTTAAGAGGGAGGGGCTGTTGCATGTTTAGAAGCATCCCCCAGGGGCTACAACAGAACAGGGGGGAGCCCACCCAAGCCTGGAGGCACTTGAGGAGGCAGGAGGGAGTATGTTTTAACAGGCTTTGGGGTTTTGTCATGAGACATGCAAAGGGGTCAATGCAGTGACAGGGAGGCAGGGGGAGGGGTTCCTGCAAGGGAAGGAAGGGCTATGGAGGCAGCGAGGTTCTTGGTCCCTCAGTCTCACTGCTGCCCTCCCGTCAGGCCCCACTAGCAGCACCCTACAGAAGGTGGACGTGCGGCTGGTCCCGCAGGACCTGTGCAATGAGGCTTACAGCTACCAGGTGACCCCACGCATGCTTTGTGCTGGATACCGCAAGGGCAAGAAGGATGCCTGCCAGGTGACTCCTATGGGGTGTGACCCCTGTGATGGGAGGTCTTAGGCTTTGCTTCTTGACACTGTGAGGCTTTGGGCTTGAGGTCACAAATCAGGGAGGACTGAAGGGAGGCCTTCACCCTGATGCACTCTGTCTTTCCATTCCTCTGTCAGGGTGACTCTGGAGGTCCACTGGTTTGCAAGGAGCCCAGTGGCCGCTGGTTCCTGGCAGGGTTGGTGAGCTGGGGTCTGGGCTGTGGCCGGCCCAACTTCTTCGGTGTCTACACTCGCATCACAGGTGTGATCAACTGGATCCAGCAGGTGCTGACCTGAAGGGCTGCCCTGCAGAGCTGGATTGGCCTCCAACCGAAGCCCAGGGTACCCACCTGGCTGGAACATAAGTATTCTGGGGCAAGTGGCCCCACAGAGGCATCAGGTGGCACCTTGTCCCCTAACCTTGATCCCTGATGTCTACCCCAGTGCAGCACAGAGAAGGGATGTCAGCTGGTGGTCAGGACATCTCCTGAGGGCTAGTGGTCAAGCTCAGCTGGCCTTCACCTCCAACTCTTTGTCCTCTTGGTTCTCTCTCTCCCTTCCTTCTGCTGTTTTGGGGTGGGTATGTCAGCGACATTGATGCTGGCTCCCAGGTCTCTGTAGGAAAGTGAGATCCCTTCCGCACGCAGAACCCACCTGAAGGAAACTGGCTCCAAAGAGCGGACTCCATCCAGCCTGTGAGATCCCCGTGTACCTTGGACAGTGGAAGGAAGGTGCCTCTATCAGGGAGGACCCTCAGAGGCCTGGAGATTGCCAAGTGGGCCATTGTAAGCCAAAGCATGGGTGGCCCCAGCTGCAGCTCTGCTTGCTACCTGGGTCCTCCCCGCCATTTAATAGAGGCCCCATCATCTGTTCTGTGAATAAAGTGCTTGACCAAGCCCTGATGCTGGCATCTGAGTGGTCCCACACCAGCCTCATGCCCTTTACTGAACTGCTGCCTGCTCAGCTTGCTCAGCACATGTCCAGAGGCCACCATGGGGAGCAGCGGGGGACACTGCATCCTCTGGGGACACTGCTCAGGACCTGGTGGGAAACCCCAGGATGGTTGTGGGTTGGGAATTCTCAGGTCAGAGTCAGGGGTGACGTGATGACCTTCTTCTGGAATGTGAAGAGGAAGCTGAGGCTACGAGAGGGGGTAGGGTTGGGCAGAGCCTAATGTGGACCATCTGCTCTTGACCCTCCAGCAAGACAAATGCTCCCTTTGCACTCTGAGCCATATGCATGTGAGTTTTTGCTATGACTGGGTACCATACTGGCCTAGGGACCAGTAAGCTGGGTGCAGCCAACAGAGGCTGAGGCCAGGGTTGGAGAGGAGATTGTGGCTCCTGATTTCAGCAATGTGGGGATGACAGCCCATATAAGGGGGGCAGTGGGACGCATGTTCAGGGGGGCTGCCCAGAGGTGGCCCTTGAACTGGGGTTCAAATGTGGCCAAGACAGGGAAAGGCATTCTGAAGAACAAAGACAAAGGGAACAGAGCCCCAGAGAATAGGGTACACACAGGCCTAGCAAGCCAGGTGCAACCAGAGTAGAGGCTGAGGGGGAGGGCTTCAGGGAAGCAAGATGGACCCAAGAAGCAGCTAAGAATCTGACCCTGCAAGGTACGGACTGGACCGCAGCAGGCTTCATATTCTACAACCAGCATCTGCACCATGTTCAGGGAGTTGGAGGCAGGGAGGCCGGTTAGGAGGCCTCTGAGAAAGCTGGGAGTTAGGATGGAGAAGGTGGGGGGTGGCTGGAAGGAGGAGGCAATTGGGATGGGCTGGAGGATTTAGGGAACAGGGGTGGAGGCCGTGGTAATGGGGGTCAAGTGCAGATAGCTCCCAAAGCCTAAATAGAAAGGAGGGTGAAGTGACCAGGGAGCAGTAGGAGCCACTGGGTTCTGCCAAGATGAGAAAGGGCCAGGCAGGAGGGGAACCTCTGGCACTTGTGGGTAGGGCAGGATGGGGTCATGTGGTAGTCCTACTCCCTGAATCACTTAGAAGGCTCTGGTAAAATGTATATTCTTGGGTCCCACTTACTTTATTCATCCCAAATAGGGAGGGAGGACTACATATAACCTCCGACAACTCCTGCAACGCTGGATTGGAAAAGTGAGCTCGCCTTCAGGGACTGCATGTCCTCAGGGATGTGGTGACGTTCTCCTGACTGGGAAACAGGCAGGAGGGTTCCTTGGGTCAGGTGAGCCTTAGGGATCACTACCAAATGTGGGGAAGCTTGAAGGCCTGGTGCAGCCAGCAGGAAAGAGAAGCTGAGGGCCCAGGTTCTCAGAGAAGGGGAACAGAAATGGAGGGGTATCCTGGGGTTCAGGATACACAGGGCTGCTGGGCAGAGGACTCAGTCACACTCCAATCTCTTCCCGCAGCATGTGGAAAAATGACAAAAGGGAGAGGACCTCGGGTTCAGGAAAAAGCCTCATCTCTTTGCGTGGGCCCACCTCACCTGAGTTTGGGCCCTGTTCCCCCAAGTGGTGCAGAAAAAGGAAGTCAGCCAGGCCAGGCTGTTGGTTCAGGTTTATTCACGGTGTTGTGGAACACAGCTGACAGATGTGTGCCCATCCCAGGGGGTCAAGACACAGGAAGGGCAGCTGAGTCCCTGTCACACCTGACCCAGCTTCGGGCAGAGAGTGGACTCCCCTTCCCCGTCACAAGTTCCTGGGCAGCCCCACTGTCTATAGCCAGGGCTCGCCATAGCCAGATGAATGGTGGCAGGGAAGCCAAGGTGACGCCTTCCTTCCTGCAGGGCTAAATTCCCACACTGCCCCCACCAACCAATACCCGAAGACACAGTGCCCCACTTGAGGGCTATAGACTTCCCCGAGAAGATGAAGGCCGGCAGCCCCAGCCATGCAAGGGCTTCCAGGCACCCTCATTCCTCCTTGCACCCTCACAACAACCCTGTGAGGTAGGTGTGTGGAGGGGTGACCCTATGGGGTCAACAAGGAGACTGAGGCTCAAGGAGGTGACATGACTGGGTTGGGGGGAGGGAGTGTATCTGCCATGCAGCAGGGGGACCCAGGCGAGGGGACAAAGGGGCCTGAGAGGTAAGGGTGGACAGTGCCACACTTTGGCTGTGGGCAGGTGACTCTGCCTGGGGACCCCAGGGCCCATCTCAGGCCTTTTGCGGTCCCAGTGGGCCCCAGGCCTGGGCCTGGAGGCAGGAGTGAGTCCCAGCCCAGCAGGTGCAGGCAGCAGTGACAGGGGAAAGGGCAGGTCTTCCTCCTCCGGCCAGGGGCCCACCCCGTAGTACAAAAATAAAGGATTTCAGATCGGAACCCCAAGTCCCTGGAGGTGATCTGGGGGCTCACATCCGGGTGCCTCTGGCTTGTAATAGCTAGAAAATAAGAGGGAGGAAAGAACAGAAGGAAGAGGAGAAGGGGGTCAGAAAACCGGGGGAGGGGGTGGTGAGGAAGGGGTGATGCCAGGGCAGGAGAGTTGGGAAGAGACAGTGGGAAGGAGGGGGAGGGAGGGAGGGAGAGAGGGAGAGAGAAAGGCATGTGAGTCCCAGGCTGGCTCTGAAGAGAAGTGGGGCTGAGGCCCAGAGGAAGTGGTGTCAGAACCGGGGAGGGGAGCAGCTGCCAGTTTTGGGCTGGTGAAGGCAGTCTGGGGAAGCCAGATTCTGTCAAGACTCTAAACCAGGGTGGGGCAGGGCTGGGGATGGCAGATCACAGCTATCCCAGGCAAAACAGGTCACAGGGAGCCGCTCTCCCTTCCCATTTTAGAATCAAACTGTGGCAGGGAATTGCCCAAGGCCACACGCAGGTATGTAGGGCTGACCAGGGGCTGCGGTCACCTGTCGGGGCTTTTCTGCCTCCTTCATGGGCTCTGGCAGACTCCTCGTCAGCCAAGGGATGCCACATGTGGCCTGGCCTCCCCACCCCATGGAAGTAGGGGACACAGTGCCACATGCAGTGTCACATAAACTCCTGGACATGCAGGATGAGGTGGAGGCATGAGGCACCGCAGTCCTCCCCTCCCCAGCCTGGCTTCAGCACCCACGCCATAGGCCGGCAGGTAGGAGAGTCCCCACCTCTGTCCTTGGGTCCTCACCCCAAGGCCCAGATAGGATGAGACTTTGGTGGGTGGAGAAAATCAGCCGAAAGCTCGGCTCAAGTCCAAGTACAAGAGATGAGCACCCTCCTTGCTTCCGCCCCTCCCTCCAGCTCTGCCAGGCTACAAACCAGGGACGGCAGCTCTGGGGGCGGGCGCGGGGCCGAGGAGCTCTCACAGCAAGCTCAGGCTCGGGTCTGGGAGGGTGCGGATGGGGACCTGCAAGGAGGAAATGTGAGGAGGCAAGCGGGAACCATGGGGCCTGTGGCCAAAGCCAGCCTCAGAGCTGCCCTGCTGGGCTGGAGGGCACAGAGCAGGTGCGACCACGCCCCTCCTCCCCAGGCCAGGAGGCGGAAGGGGCTGGAAGGGGCACAGGAGGCGGCAGGCAGGATGCTTGGGGATACAGGGCCAGGGGGCCCGGGGAGAGGGCATGGGAGACTGGGACCAGGGCAGCCCCAGGGTGGAGGCGGGAGCAGGCGGAGAGGAAACCTGGGCAGGGGCAGAGAGGGAAGAGGCAGGGTGCAGATGAGATCCAGGAGGAAGAGGAGGTGGATGAAGATGAAGCAGGACCTCCAGCAGGAAGCGGAGGAGGAGGCGGTGGTGGGAGGGAGAAAAGGTTAGCGGGATCCTGAGATGACAGGGCTGCAAGAGAAAGTGAGAGAGGGATGGTTATGGGCGCGGTGCCAGGCGCTGAGCTAACCCTGGTGGCCCGCCCCCACAGTCCCAGGCTGCAGCTGCTCCAGCAGGGAGAGGGCGGGAGGCCCGGGTTTTCATTAGCAATCGTCCTCTTGGGGGCGGGCTGCACCTTTCTCCTGGGCATCCGCCTCCACCTGCACCTGGGCCACCTCCACCTCCTCCACCTCCTGCCGCCGCTGCTCCTCCAGTTGCTCCTCGGCACTCTGCGCACCCGCCGCCGACCAGGGAAGAGAGAGTGGACACACTGACAAGGGGGCTGGGCTGCGGGCGGCTGTCCACAGGGACCCCCGACCTCAGGACAGAGGGGCAGGCAGGATGAAAGGGGCCTTGGGGGAGGGAGGACTGCAGTGAAAACAGCTGCGGCATCTTCACAGGAATGCTGAGACCAACCAGGCTGCTGTTACAGAGCCAAGCTGTGGCTAAGGCTAGAAAAGGAGCCATCGGGCTCCTGGGAAGGCCTTACTTTGGAGGAAAGATCCGGAGCAGACAGTCAAGGATGATCCCGAGTGGTCACCAACCCGATCTAGATGCCAGCAACAGCGTCTGGCATCCTGGACCCAAGGAGGTGACATGGGGAGGCAGAGCAGCAGGGCACCCCGCACTCTTACAGGGCAGAGCCAGCCACTGGTATGGACGGGGGCACAGGAATCACAGCAGGAGTTGGGGGCATGGGAAGCCAGAGTTCCTAGGACTCTAGTACATAGGCACAAGTCCCTGAAGGAACAAACTTCCTCCTTCTCAGACTGGCTCATGCCTACTGGGCAGGCCAGTATTTTGTCAGAGGGGACAGGGCCACACTTACTCCCTCATCACAGGCTGGCTTCCGGCTGTGCCCTTGGAAGGCTGCTGCCTAGGCTAGAGCCCATATCCTTCAGACAGAGCACCCGAAAGGCCTGACCTAGGCTGAATGGGGACAGTCACCAGTCTCTGGGGAATAAACCAGCCATTTAGGAACCTAGGAGTTCAAAGCTTGAATCAACAGAGTTTGTGGCCCCCTTCCCCCTTCATAGAGACACAGCAAAGGTGCTAAGAGAGACTTGTCAAACGTCACACGGAGCAGCATGCCACGCTGAGCTCTAGTTGTGTGCTCAGTCTTGTACCATAATGCTGCCATGTGCCTCCATTCAAGAGGCACTGAGCACACCCTGCCTGTTCCCTCAGGATGTGCCTCACTGTTCTCAAGCCTGGGCCACCGGTGGGCTGACTGGACTGTGGTGACATGGGATGGATGACACTGGCTGTGACCATGACCATGGGTGTTATGCAGGTAGAGCAGGAGGGAGGAGGAAGCAGCGGGATGGGGATGGGGAGGGTGCCATCTTCACACAGGTCCAGGACTCACCTTGGACTTACGGCTGGACTCAGAGCTTAGGCCATGTGGGGAGCTGTGGAGCTCCTTGGACACCACACACAGGAACTCGGCCTGATCCTCACTGCCATAGTTGTAGGAGGAGCCGATGTTCACTAGCTGAGGGTAAGACACCAAGAGAACAGGGACGAAGGGTGAGGGAGGGGACAGGGGAGACACAGACAGCCATCCATGTGTCCACCCAGCTCTGTTCATGGGGGCTGGCCAGGACGCTCCTGGTCTTCCAGAGGCACAGAACACAGGAAGTCAGTATCTTTGGTCCCCATCCACACCTCTCCTGGCTTGGCTAGACTTGACTCCAGAGGAGGGGACAATAACATCCTCCACCTCATCCCACAACCAGATGTCACTTCCAGAGAGCAGGCAGAGGCCTATGGTGGCCAGGCTGTTCCCAGTCCAGATGTGGCTGTAGCAGCCCCAGGACTAGTTTGTAGGGTAAAGCTGGAAGGGTAGAATAGTCCCTTCATTCTCAGAAGAGGCAGCCCAGTCCTGAGGCTGTAGGACCCAGGCTGGTGGCCCATGACCTGCTGGCTCAGCCTCTGGGAACCCGAGCAACTGCACAACTGCCTCACGGGCGCTCAGCGTGGCTTCCTTCATCCTGGGGCCCTGAGAGGCACCAAACCCATACGGCCCTTCTGACTACAACATCACTGCATGGGACGGGCCTTTGAGCTCCTGAGGTCCAAGTAAGCAGGCAGAGGCAGCAGAGGCCAAGAGAGACAGTGGTCTGCTGGAGGTCCTGTAGCTGGAAGAGGTGGGCTAGAGACCAAAGCCCGAGAGCCTTCACATCCTCCCCAGGGTCTTATACACTTAAGACACAGCATGTCTAGGGTTTTTTGTTTTGTTTTGCTTTGAGACAAGGCGTCGTGTGGCCCACGCCAGCCTCAAACTTGCTACATGGCTGAGCATGACCCTGAACTCTGCCTCCACCTCCCAAGTACAGCTGTGGCTATTCTAATAGTTGGAATGACACAGGTGCTAATGAGGAGTCCTAGCCAAGCCCAGGGCCTTTCCTTATACCCTTCTCCTTTCACAAAGGCCCTGTAAGGAGGTATCCTAAACCCACACCCAGGAGGCAAAGGCGCAGAGAGGACCAGCCTGCTGCAGTGGGAACAGTGACAGAGCGGAGCTGGAGGGGATGCCCGCTTCTGCTCCCTGCTGGTTGGCTGGCTTCCCCATGCTATTCTGGGGGTCCAGACTTACCTTTCTCTGCCTTCAGGGAGGTGAGGGGCCACTGCAGACTAATTGAACTCTACTGCTCTCAGGGAAGACCTGACCTTGACTCACTTCAGGGGCTAAGTCCTCTAGAAACCTGAGAGACAGAGCACACTGCATCATGAGGACAAAGCTGCTTAACAGTCTCCCACTGGCCAACTGCCTATGGCCTAGAGGCACTGCAAGTCACTACAAGTAACTCCTGGGAAGGCACTGCCTGGGGCTTCCTGCAAAGGGATGATGCTTATCACGGTGCGTGTCTGTCATGAGCCCAGGAAAATGCTACCAGAGGTATGGCAGGGATTCCACGCAGTCTGTGGCTCTGGTCTCCTATGCCTGAGCTGTACCTGAGGACCAGAGACTGGCTGCTATGCAGTCCTCCAGCGACCAGGATACCCAGTGGCAAGGGTGCCTTGCTCCTTCAAAGTCCATCTGTGCCTGGTAGGGATGGGATTCTCCAGTCTTGCTTAGCTCCATTCAAGAAGGCCCCAGGTTAGGGAGCCTTTGGAGCCCCAGATTCCTCACCAGGTTAGGGCTGGGGGAGGGTGGGGATGACCAGAGGCTGAGGCTGCAGGAAGGAAGGGCATGTTCTGGTAGGATGCTGAAAGGTCCAGATACAGGCCCTTGGGTGCTCCTTGTGCCCAGCTCACCTGCTCAAAGCGCCAGCCATCAGACATGGTGGAGACCATCTGTGTGAGTTCCTCTTCCTGGCACTGCAGCACACGGTACACATGTTTGGGGGGCACCTGTGGGTACAAGAATTACATGGAGGGCATCTCTGAAGGCACCAGGTATCTACCTGCCCCCTCCCCAATCGTATACCTAGAGGGAGGAGAGAGTCATGCTCTGAGCACCTAAGTTCTAGGTGCTCCCTATGCATGGCTCACTACTCTCAAGACCCCTATGCATTATAGAGCTTTATACTGAGATCTCAGAGAGGTTCGGTTACTTGTCCAAGGTCACCCAGCTCAAGGGTGGCAGAGCCGTATGTGGAACTTGGGTGATACAAGAGGGAAGCAGGGCAGGACTCAGAGGGACATTCTGGGTTACCAATCAAGTCGGGCCTTAATCTCTTCAGTTTCAGTTACTAGAAGGCAATGCCTCACCCTGTCTCCCAGCTATGGCCCCCAGGTAGGTGGAGACTGAGGCCATCTGTTCCTGCAGACTGGTCCTTGAGGCCTGGGAATCTGAGCTCTGAAGCCTGAAGAGCTCATGTGTACCCCTTGGGGGACTACCTAACACCCTGAAACAGACATTTACTCATCCTGGGGGCCCTGTGCCGCCACTGCCACTCACTGTGAGCAAGAGATGGGAGGACAACTCTGAGCATTTCTATATTCTACAGGAGGAAACCAAAGAGGGGCACGAGGGGTCATAGGTCATATAGCAGGTGTCAAAGCAGAGACAGAATCCCAGCTGTGCATCTCCAGCTGGGGCCCATGCTGGGCAGCCTGGAGCCCAGGAGGCCTCCCCTGTCAGGATGTTTAGCTTTCCCATCTCCTCTCCATCCCCTGCCCCTCCTTCTGTTGGCCCTGCTCCCTCTCTCCAAACCTGGGTCACTGTGTAGTCTTTCTCCTCCATTCGATCTTTGATGATACGGATCAGTGGGCCGATGTTGTAGAACTCAGCTTCCTCCAGAACCCCTGGGACACAGAGCAGCTTAGTCACTTTTACTGTCTCTGCGCCCCATTCTCCTTTGTCCCCGAACCCACGTCTTGCTCTGGTTACATGCTGGGAAAAAGTCCATGAGCTCAGGGGCTAAGCTCTAGGGATGTGGCTCTGCTGGTTAGTGTTTGGCTAGCATGCACAAAGCCCTGGGTTTGATCCCCAGCAGTGAATAAACCTTGAGTGATGGTATACGCCAGTAATCCTAGCTCTTAGGAGGTAGAGGCAAGAAGATCAAAAGTACAAGGCCATCCTTGGCTACATATGGCAAGTTTGAGGTCAGCTTAGGCTATCCGAGTCTCTGCTTAACTAAAGCAAAAGGGAACATTTCCTCCTTAGCCCCTCACATGAGGGGCTGGTATATCACCCCTCAGCCAGACCTGTCTCCTCTGTTGTGCTGAGCACAGTGACCCAGGGCTACCTGCTGGTCCACATCCTGGGTCTGTTCTGGGCATCCAGTAAGAGGGCTCATTGAGACTGTGCCCCGGAATACCGCAGGGAGGGCCTGGCCACTCCGCTGCATTCCTCCACTTACTGAGCACATGTTGAGCAGCAGGCATGTGCCGGGAACATCACATCTTTACGGCATTAGATGTGGGTACTTTCTTCATGTCCGCTGAACAACTGGGGAAACTCAGGCTCTGACAGAGAAGCAGCTTGTCCAAGATCACATGGCCTGTAAGCTTCTGGGCAAATGCAAGCACCTCAGCCTTTGGAGCCCCAGATTCCTTACCAGAAGTAAATAGCTTTTGTGCATCCTCAGCTACCACTTAACAGTTTGTAAAGTTCTTGTGGGTCCATCAGATACATTTATCTAAGAGATCAAGTGAGGCATCCTCACTCCTATTTGGTGAAGTGGGACAAGTTCCCAGCTGTCTGGACTGCCAGAAGCTTCTGCAGGGCAAGGGGGCTGCTGGACTTTCTACAGACAGGACTCACCATAGACTGTGTGCATGTCCCCTCAAAAATTCATCTTTTGAAACATGCCAGTGTGATGGGGGGATAAAGGCTAGAGAGGTCACGAGAGCCCTAACAAGAAGAGACCAACAGCCAGTGTCTGAACAGCATACAAAAAGTGGGCAGTTTGCAACATGGAAGAAAACTGCTAGACACACCCCTGCGAGCTGGGAGGAATCAGCATCTGCTGTTGTTATAGGGCCCCAGTCTCTGGTACCTCATTACAGCAATGTTCTCCACTGTGACCCCGTTACTTTCCCAGGACATGCCAGAGGGGATAGTCAGGAAGGATCACTGCTTGAGTGACAGAAATCTCCCAGTGCCTGGTAAAGACAGGTGACAGACATGTCACCCCACACTGTGCACCTCAGGGCCAGGTACCTGGGTCCATGAGAGGAACTCTGTACGTGTACCTTCCCTACTGCTTGGTGAGGGACTCCTCGGATAGGAGTCTGGTGGCCCAGAAAGGTTAACTAACATTTTCACTGTCACAGAGCTAGTAAGCCTAGTTCCTGGGCCTGGTTCCTCCAGATGCTCCCTCACCCTGTCTGAAGGGCTATGAGAAGCCAGAACCTGTAAACAGGTGTTGCCTGTGATGCAACTGGGATGTGAGCCTCCCGTCCCTGAGGGATCTGTGCCTGAGTCCAGGCCCTACCCACACTGTCTGTTCCCCTAGGACTGCCAGGCAACTATCTATCTACGTCAGCTCTGAGCATGAAAACCTCCCCTACATCTAGGTCACTGTACCCCACTGGGGTCAGCCAGAGAATACAATAGCTTAGAGCCAGGGCTGTGTGAGATACCCCAAGCACAAAGGACCCATGTCATCTACAGTTTCAGTGTGGGTCATCATGCCCATTTTGTTAACAACAGTGGACATACAGAGAAGACTGGCATGTCCAAGCTGGTTTGACTAGATCAAGCTGATGCAGAGCCACACTCAGTGTCCATAGAATAGTTGATTTGGGACTGAATGTAGTCCCTGCCCCTGACCCATTCTCAACCCTGCTTCCCTGGATGTGGGCATCTGCAAGTCCGGAAGGGGCCAAAGCCTGCCTCCTCCAACAACCACCACTGAGCTGCGGAGGCTGCCAGCTTTGGGGAAGAGCCACTCCCTCAGTCCAAAGGCTGATGGCAAGCCTGTGCTTGGGAGACACTGGATAGGGCAGAGAGAGAAGGCTCTGGCTCTTCCCTCCTCCAGCCTTGGGGCATTACAGGCCACACCTGGCTTCCCAGGAGGCCAGAGTGAAAGAACATTCCCGCTGGCAGCAGAGGCCTCAGGCCTCCTCACAGCCACAGTGGCTTCAGCTTCCTTCATCCTCTTCCTGTTTCACCATCACTTCCCTAATAGCACTCAGTGATAGGTCAGGCCTGTCACCTTGGCAGAGACCCTGGGAACAGAATCCCACCCTGGGATGGCAAGAGGCAGACAATATAGGAGAAAGCAGATATTTGGGGAGAAATAGCTTTGGGCCTCCCCTGGAAGGCTCTGCCAGGCTGCAGAGAGCAGAGCTAGGCCATGGGCCAGCCCACTGAACCAACTCACCCTCCTCAGCCATGTCCTTGTCCAGCACCAGCTTGCCATGGCGGAGGAAGTTCAAGATGGGCCCGAAGTAGGTGGGGTCACGGTCAATGAGGTAGGCCCCCGTCTCATCCTGTGGAGGAGATGACCACAGGCAGTGAGAGGTGTGTAAGCCTCTCCCAGCCCGGCCCCAAACATAAGCTCAACTCACTGCATACTTCGAAAGGTCTGCTGGCAGGGAGAGAGGGAGGGTGGCGGGGTAGAGCAACAAGGTCCTGGGTTCAAATTCTGCCTTTGCCTTTTCTAGGCTGTGTGACCTTGGGCCTATCGCCTAAACTCTTGGAGTCTCTCTCTTCTTCCTCATAATTAAGGGATAACTGTGAGCATGCAGTGTGACAGGAGGTCTCAGTGGTCCCCAGCTCAGAAGGGCTCAGGGATTTTCCCTCTTTGGAGGTTGCCCCCCAGAGCCAACCCCACCATCCACCAGATGTTTGCAAGTTTCCAAAGGAGTTGCTCTGATTGGATGCTCAGGGTGGCATCAGTAAAACCCAGCAGAGAATGCTGGAACATCAAGAGGCTGGGGACTTGCCCAAGGACACAGCATTGGGCAGGTCACAGAATGGGGACCAGGGAACCTTAGCGGCTATCTCCAGAGTCCTTTCAGACGAGGAGGCCGCCGAAGTCTGTGAGGGACGCTCTCCCCACCATACTCCCGCAGCCCTCGACCCCAGGTGGAAGAAGAGCTGGGTGAGCCCACAAATGATACCTTTTGGACCAGGGGTCTTCCCACATTAAGCCGGGCTCCAAAGCACCCAGGCCTTCTATACCAAGGCCTTCTGTACCGCACCCCAAAGGCCGGGAGAACTGGCCGCATCACCTCCTGTCTGTCCCAGCGCGGGAGTCAGCCCGGACAGCAGGGCAGGCCCAAGCACACCCGTCCCTCCCCGCGGCCTCATAGTAGGGGAGCGTCCCCGATCCAGGGCAGCGCTCCAAGGCTCCAAATGGCCGCGGCCTGCGTTGTCCCGTTGCCACGGCAATGGGCACAGCGCTCCCTCTCAGCTCCATTTCCTCCCCCTCCTCCTGCCAGGGCTCCCCGCCTCAGGCTCTCCGGAAAGGAAGGCCGCCGAGGTCCCCAAGCCGACGGACGCGCGAGCCGGACTGGCCCGGAACTCGGAGCAGGCGGCCGGGACCCCGCCGCCCATTGGCTCACCCGGTCCGATTGCAGCTCTTCGCCTTGACACAGGCGGCTGAGGAAGGACTTCTGCTCCCGACACAGCGTCTGCCGGGTGGTCAGGAACACCGTGCCCCCCACGTTCAGCCGCACCCACTTGCCCCAGGCGCCCCCGGCGTGGCTACCCGCCCCCGCCGGCGGCGCTGCCTCCCCGGCCTCCATCCTCATCGCCGACCTCGGCGTCTGCATCCTCCGCTCAGCGCGCGCTGCAGGCGGGTACCAGGCGCGAGGCATGCCGGGAGCTGTAGTCCCAGCGCCAGAGCCAGGGCTTGGGGCTGGAGCTGGGGCTGAGGCTGAGGCTGGGGCGGGGCTGGCTGGTGTTGGTGCAATTTGTCCCGCCCGCCCAAGGCTCCTCATTTCTTGGAAGTAGGTTGCACGCTAGGTTTCTCCAAGTAGCCTTTTAGGTTCTAGGGCACTAGGAAAACAGTGATCCCTAAAATAGCCATCTCCCTGTTCTCCTTGTGCAGACCCCAGCAGTGGAACGTGCCTCTGACATGCTAAGTCGCTGAGCTGCACCAATAGAGTATTTGATTTTTCGCTGAGGTGAGGCACACAGGGATGAAGGTGGGTTGCTGCCTCTTCCCCCCAGAAATTGTTTGAAGATGAATAGTTGGACTTAGGGCTGGCTGAGGACTGTGTGTGTGGGGGTGCTATATAGACATATTACTGACTTAAGCTCTCAGCAACTTTATCAGGCTGGTGTCACTATACCCAGTGCACAGAAGGGATCACAGATGCACACAGCTATCAGTGACATGTACATTTCCACACTAGAGTCTTTTTCTTGTGTCCTGAGGTTGTCGGGGATCCCTGGGAAAGATGTCTAGCGAGGCAGAGTTGAGAGGACACTATATCAAAGTCAAAAGAACTGACTTTGCCATCTGGCTTGGTAGGCTGAGAAGTTGGGGAGGTCTCAGTGTGGAGGGGGAAGAGGCAGACTGAGCCCACTGGGGGCAGCCTGGCAGTAGAAGCAGGCTCAAAGAATGGTGCCACCTACAGAGGGCTGGGTCTTCCCATATCAGTAAATATAATCAAGACAATCTTCCCCAGACATGTCAGGTTAACCTGACTAGACAATCCTTCATTGGGATTAGGGTGATTCTAGGTTGTGTAAAACTGACAAAACTAACCATCAGGAGAGATGAGTAGAAAAAACCCTGGAAGGACAGAGACCAGGTCTTCTCCCTTCAGGCTATACTTCTGTTTGTTGTATTCTCCGGAGAGGGCTCTGTTGTAAGTGCCTGGCCGCAGGCAACCACAAGGAAGAGATTACCATCCCCGGTATCCTCAAGATCATATCCCAGGCATATTCTGTCACAACAAGAAGGCAACGGCCACCAGTACAGAGGCCGCTGCACACTGAGGGTTTTTCCTGGTTTGAGTGGTGCCCATCTGTTGGTTGTCATCAATCTAGGACTCCTAGATATTGATCCTCCTTCCCCATGCCCATCTTACAGTTGATAAGGCCAGTCTCAGAGACCAGGATTCTTCCTAGTTGGTTTAAGAGGATGTTATGGAGAGCAGAGTCAGCCTCAAAGCTTGGTTCATTGACTCAGAAACCTCAGCTAATAATCATTCCATCCTATTGTCTCTAAGGATCCCATAACACCCCTCCAGTGGCCTTCTTAAGGTCGCATCACATATGAGGAGACCACAGTCCACACAGCTGGTCCAAGCAGGCCAGTCTACACCCAGAAGAGGGGCAATGTCTCCTTTTGGCTCTAATCCTGGAGGTGTCAAATGAAGGCTGGACCAACACCTTGGACCTCAAGTAAGGAAGAAGTCCCGCCTCAATTCCCCTCCTCCTCTCAGAGTCTCCACCTCACTGGACACAGAACCCGCTCAATAGACATCTAAAATTCTCCCATCTGTTAGTTGATATTGCGTTATTATGATGAAACCACCAAGAGGAAGAAAAAAATTTTGTTATTTTGCTCATGGTCCTGTGGTTTGCTGGTTTCATTGCTTTTAGTTTCCCTTTGGGGGCCATGCCGGGGCAGTACTGGGGATTGACCTAGAGCCTTAGGCAAGCACGGGTGCCACTGAGTTACAGCTCCAGCTTTTACATAGGCTCTTGAGCCTGGAACAAGGCAGAGCATCATAGCAGAAAAGCCAAGGGGAGGAAAGCTGCTTACCTCAGGGCAGTCAGGAAGGAGGGAGGGAGGGAGGGAGGGAGGGAGAGAGAGAGAGAGAGAGAGAGAGAGAGAGAGAGAGAGAGAGAGAGAATGAATCATATCCACAGTGACCCATTTCTTCTAACTAGGCCTGACTCTCAAATACCCATTCAGCTGTAAACTCATCAATGGGTTAATTCATTGATGAAATTAGTACCCTTGTGCTAATCACCCCCTGCAATAGAACTGAATCTTCTACACATGAGTTGGGGGGTGGGCATTTCATATCCAACCCACAACCCATCTAAAGTGACACTCACTGATGAAGGACACAGCTTAGAACCAGGTAGCAAGATCCAAGCTCCCCTAAACAGAGTCAAGAGTAGCCAACACATTCCACGTCTGGACTTTTGTCTGGCCTGTTTGGGTGGAAGAGCAGAATGTGTTGGAAATCTTTACCCAGCTGTGGAAGGGACCTTAACCCCTCCGTCCCACTGACCCTCATGTGTCATTGGGTTTGCTGAGCACCAACTACGCCAGGATTGTAGCCTGTCTTCCAAGAGGGCTTGGTTCAGGGAAGGTAGGTTTGAGATGGTTAAATAAAACAGAGTTCGGGCAGCCTTATCTGTAATCACTGGCTGTCACTCTTCGTAGGTTTTTGTTTGTTTTTTTTTTGGCTTGTTTTGTGCACACTTATTCCACCCTCCCCCAAGAAGATAATGGGAAACAACCCAGTGTTTTTTAGACACTTTCCAGGATGACAGCTAAGCTGGAGGGCACCAAACCTTAAATGCCAACTGGCTCCACTGCCCCCTGACTCCACTGCCCCTTGGCTCCATTGTCCCTTGCTGTCCCTCCTGCACTGTTCTGACTCAGCTGGAAAGTGAGACAGGACAGAGTGTTGGTGCAGGGGCACAGGCTTCCAGCAAGGACACCAACCAGCGGCCCAGCTTTGTGGCTTACCAGCTGCATGACCTTGGAAATCACCTGCCCTCTCTGAACCTGACTCCCTGTTATACAGGACTATCCCTTGAGCTCAACAACTGCCACTTTCAGGAGTCCAGGTATGCTAACCTGCAAAAGATCATGACAGCTCAGCCTGCTGACTGTTAACATCCCTCATAGAAGGAGGGGTGGGGCGGGTCATGGGACCCTCACCTGAGTACCCACCTATGCTTCTCAACCAGTTGTATACAATTCTGCCCTAATTGTAAACAGCCTCAGAGAGGGGCTATAATATGTAGACTGGGGAAGACTAGGGGAAGGGGACTCCATCTACGTGACTATGACCATCATCCATACGGAGTAAAGACTTTCTAGTGTGGTCTTTTGGGGTAGGGACCACCCACCACTTGGTTTGTCGTTGGGACCTTGGGGGAGAAGGGAAGATGTTGCTTATATCTCCCCCCGGGAAGGAATTGTAACAACATTCCCCACCTGTAAAATGGGACTAACAATACTCACCTTTTGCAGTGACTGTGAGGAGGCAAGGAATAGTGATGTTAACATGTAAAGACTAGTAGTGATTGTTCCCCATATCACCTCAGAGGCCAGAGAATGCCTGCTTTTGTGAAGCCAGCCAGCCACCCTGTCAAGATTGGTGCCTCACTAGGCAGCAATTAGCCAACACTGAACCAGCCTACCACCTCCTCGCTGCTGGGGTTGGAGGGTAAGGTAGGGAGAAAGGCCCACTCAAATAGCCTAGGCTCCAGGGCAGAGTGGCTGCCATTGCATGCTAAGCCCCATGACCTAAAGCGACTCTCAAGTCATTCTGTTCCCAGATAGAGCTATTACAGGGACCCAGATGCTCCCAGGAGTTCTCACCTGAGCATGCATGGGCTGTCCTGTTTTGAACCTTCTCCTCTGCCTAGCAGTATCCAGCATCTGATTGGCTCGTGTCACCTCTGCTGGCAGCTCTGTGACTAAGATGTCATTCATTCCTACTGACTTTTTTGTTTCCATTCTGCTCTTTTCATCCCCAAGTTCCGAATGTCAGAACATTCTAATTAGCTTCAAGTTTCCTCCTGTCAAATCCAATTCCACCCCTGCCCTGGGGGCTGGCTCCCCTGCTTCACCTTGTGTGGATGCTGAGGGTAAGCCCGCACCTCTTCAGGTCACCTGAGGTGAGACTGGGGCACAGTGGGTAAGAGAGTGCACATCTGGCAACAGGAACCATTCCTGTCTAGCAACAGGCTTCGGAGTTCATAGCCCACGGTTTGAATATGCCCCACGGCGCCCCATTCACCACCACACCTGGTCCATTAGGCATGGCACCTCTTCAAACATCACTTTACACCATCTGCAATATTTGAACCATGAGGTTTCTTGTACTTATCAGAGCTATTACAGGTGGTAAATGACAGTTCCTGTGACTGAGCATCTACTATGTGCTGAATCTTGATATAGCATCTTCCGAGAGGTTAGAGAGGCCCATAGGCTGGAGTAATTCTTTTTTTAAAAAAATTATTTTTATTATTTTTATTTATACGTATGTGTCTTAGTTTGTTTCTCCATTCCTGTGACAAAATACTCTGACCAGTACCAACTTGGGGAGGAAAGGGTTTATTTAATCTTACATCTCCTGGGTCACAGTTCATCAGGGAGTCCAAGGTAGGAACTCAGGGCAGGAATCTGGAAGCAGGAGCTGGAGCACAGGCCATGGAGGAATGCTGCTTACTGGCTTGCTCCCTGGCCCCTGCTCAGCCTACTTTCTTATGCAACACAGGCCCACTTGCCCAGGGGTGGCACCACCCACAGTGGGCTGGGCCCTCCCACATCACTTGTCAAGAAGATGCCCCTCAGATATGGCCACAGGCCAGTCCAATAGAAGGAATTCCCCAATTGAGTCTCCCTCGACCCAGGTGTGTCAAGTTGACACTACAGCTATCTGGCACAGTATGTGTCTGTGTGAATGTATGCATGTCCACAGAGGCCAGAAAAAGGTGTCAGATCCCCTGGATCTAGAGATACAGGCAGTGCTGGGAACTGAGCTCAGGTCCTCTGGAAGAGCAGCAAGTGCTGTTAACCACTGAACAATCTTTCCAGCCTGGCTTGAGTATTTCTAACAACGGTGTCACTGTGCTTGAAACAAGAGCATCCTGGGATTGTCAGCAGATGTTCACCAAGCCTGCCTCAGAAGCAGGGATTTAGTTTCA